ATCGCGCGACCCTGCCCGTGAGCAATCTCCCAACTCATCTCTGTATTTTATTAGCGCTACGGCGACAAGCGACGAAGAATATACAGCGGAAATTTTACCTATCTCTGTTTCCTCGCAGCCAATCAAAACCTCTTATTCGCGCATTGTCGTACCGTCGCTTGTCGTTGTAGCGCTAATGAAATATCGGCTTTACAAATGGTATTGTGAAAATTGGTTGTAATTAAAATTCGACATTTTATAAACAAAGTGCTGTGACCCTATTCTCCAATTGATACGGATTTTTTCGCATACGAATAAATTCGCATGAAAAATTTCGTATTATTGCGAAGACACGCTATTGGTCAATATTTGAAAGTTCTGTAGGAAACTGTCAAGTTAATTCAGAAAGTTCCGTATGATTTTTTGCGCGAGAAATCTAAAATATGTAGGTTTAAAATGCGCTCTCGTTTCACGTTCTGCAATTTGTCGGATATTCGTCAATCGTGGCCGAGGATGTATAAGAAGTGACCAATAAGAAATTCGATGCCCGATGGCGGGTGAACTAGCGATTTCTTAATTCGCTCACGGTCCACCAATCACAGCTTACGGTACAACGGAAGCAGCCAATAATGGACGCAGTGCAAAGTGGTGATTGAATCGGTCAACGCAAGGAGAAAGGAAGCGCGCGCCGCCGCCATATTAGCTGAATTCGTAAATTTTTGGAGTCGGCACGTGAGGAGTGATTAGTACGCGTTGTGCAAACCGGTTTTTCCTTATTATTTTACATTGAGACAAGGTGAAATAAATGAGTGAATGAGTTTAAGAGGAAGAGATGTGGCTTTGAGAGCGATTCAATGGGCTGCTAACATTCAAAGTATCGTTCGTATCTCGAATTCTGGAATGGCGGCGAAGCGTATAGGTTAGGGTCAAGGAACGGTTACCTCTTGGCGGGAGATACAGGATATATTTAGAAACTCCTACGTTACCGGCTAATGAATTTGCTTAGCAGTATATATATATCGGGAGTCTGTGACAGGTGTCAACAGTTGTTTTGTGGATTCGTTTGATACAAATCATGGAATACCATGAAGAATGGTTACCCAATCTCGTACCTGTGCTGGTTACGGTGACCTTAATTATTGTCACTTGTTGTACGATTTTTTTAAAACTAAGGTAAGTTTCTGCACTTCTTCTGCTTATGCTTAAATGTACAAGTTCCTAATGATAATTTTTATATTCCATGAACGACATGTATCTCTTTATAGGTTACGATGGCCTATAAAGATAAACTGTTGGTTTTGTAATGGCTATACAAAAATTTGGAGACAGGAGATCAACTGGTGGCGCTGTTCCAGTTGCGATCAATACAATGGATTCTCCAAGGTAATTGCATACTCATAACGTTTGAATGTCTTTTTTAGCATCTTATAGAGATATCAATTATTGTTATATCGTATCATGTATTAACCTAATTTTTTTCAAATTTTATTTAGGATGGAGATTACATGTATGACATTCCGGAGCAATATAAGTATGAAAAACAATCAGCTAAATATTATTGTAAACCCTGTAAAGAAAAGTCCTCTTGCTTCGGCAATAACCTTTGCACTCAGTGTAATAAAAACGAGCGGTTGAAATTAGAAGAACTCACCAATTTTGAGCCATCCAATTCAAGAAAGTATGACGATGAAGTAAAACGGTTTAAAAACAAACTAGACGAGAAGTATCCGCTGTGCACGAGATGTGTAAATGTTCTCCAGGATGTATTGATGAAGCAGTCCGCATGGCTTACTCAATACAGAATGAGTTTCTTCAAAAAGAAGCCTGTAATCTTTGTAATTAATGTAAGTGGGGTTTATAGATCTACTATACTTTTATTTTATCATTTAAATAATAGTTTCACATATTTCTTTTCTATAGAATCGCCAAAGGCTGGAGAATGTTCTTCGATATTTTCTAATAATCCTAGATTCCGTGACATTATTTTATTTGGACCAGTGGCCATTACCAGTAGCAGGAATTTTCCTTCAATTAGGCACGTGTTTCGTTGCCCCGACCACCAGAAGAATTTCTGACGTATTCCTTACGTCCCTTTGGTCTTGTATCAGTTTATTAGTATCAATTCATGAGTTACATATGTTCAGAATTAACTTTAAAAATGAGTGGTTCTCTTCAAAGTATGTAACAAAATATCACACGGTAATTGAATTCTTAATTGTTTTATAACGATTTTACTAACAAAAGGATAGTGTAAAAATTATTTTGCGTTTTACAGGCTGTGATACTTGCATCAATAATAGGACTGATGAATATAAAGCCTTGGAATTCCAAACAGAGAGGCACAGCGATGACTTTCAAGAAATTGGAGTCGCCTACTAGGAGACTAGTGCCCTCTCCTAAAGTCTCGCAAGAAATTACAAAAGATGCAGTCTTTGATAATCAGAAGAGAAAAGAGACTGACGTTCACAAGTGCCGATCGCCTGTTAACATTACTGATTTACTGATGACACCTGGAGCAGTGGAGACACCGATACCAATCAAACCATTACCCTATCCACATAATCAATTGCAAGTTCTTTTTTCTTTAAAAATAATTTCTCTATTAAAATAATTTTTACTTCTGTAGCCTCTATTTACAGCGAGTGATCTTTTCATTTTTTACAGAACGTTCCAGAGCCAGTACAACAATACACTGGCGACATCGTACCACAGTAACAATTCAATCAGCAGTAGTTATTACTCCCTTCAGCACCCATCGCCGAACTCCGTGAATTTTACCCTGTTCAGTAGTTTAAATAATTTAAGCACCTTGTCATTGAGTGAATCAGCCGTAAGAAGTGATTCAAGAGCTCCAAAGGTGTTTGAGACGAAAGTATATGACACGACTAGTCCAGATTTATTCAGGAAACTGAGTCGTAACTCTAATAGGAAGTTCATGTTGGCACCACCAAAGTTAAGATCGGTCACTCAGTCGTCATGGGTAGCTGGAGGTTATTGGCAGGAAATGATCAACACTCCTACACTGTCAAGATCTTCGAGTCAGAGTTCAGGCTTTGGGTCAGCTGGCTCCAACTTTGCTCCGTCCAGAGAGCCTTCGGTTTACAACGATATAGATAGGTGCTCCGTAGTGTCCGATGCTACACAGTGTGGCAACATCCCCAGACAAGTCAATGCACAGCCTTCGAATTCTTTCTATCTGTCCTATTCCTGCTCGAGGCCTGACAGTCCAAGTTATAGTCCACTACCAGGACCGACAGGGAATAATGCGTATTTCCAAAACCAAGTACCACAGTGCAGCAACTGCCAATCAAATCAAACTGTTCGCGTGGATCAGTGCTTGTCAAGTTCGAAAATAACTTGCCACAATATTTCACAGAGTTCGCAAACTCCTGTGGCAGTACCCAATGGGTACGCAACCATGTTTGCGAGCCCTGTCTGGCTTACTGCCTTGTTGTGTGGATCTCTTGTATTCAATACAATAGTGTTGTGTACAACTCTGTTGCGTTAGCCCAGCTGTGTTGCAACTCTCTGGTATCGAAGAGAATCAGGCTACTGTCCTGCAGTAGGTGATCTTTAAACTCGAACAGTGGAATTAGACTCATAGTTTGATGCTGTTGTCAACCTGTTGCCAAGGTTTATGCAGAATCATGTGCCACACTAGAACTTTCAGGTTTAATCTATCACATTGGTTACGACTGTTAAGTTAATTAAGAAAATTCAAGAGAAGTACTTATTCACTCGTTGCAAAACTTCGAGTGGATTGTGAACAGTGACATTTGACCGATCGAGTTGAGGTGCATGAAATGATTTTGACAATAGCCCGAGAGTGAGTCTTGGCAAGGAAGTTTGTCATTTTGTTGTGCAGAATCTTGTGATAAAGAGAATGTTCTTTGTACGTGTTCGGTAGGTAAGGTGCCTGCGTATACATTATATATGTATGGCAATGCGGGGTAGTACATTGGAATTGTGAGAATTCCATGAGTTATAAGTGACGGCGAATTGATCAACTTTTTATTAGTTTCATCTAGGAGAGAGCACTCTGTGATTCGCCGAGATTACCACGTTCGATCACGTTCTTGTGATCGATTAATGATAATTAGGTTTATATATATTATATATTATATAAGACATTGTGTAAAGCCTGCATACCACAATATGTGTAAAAAAAACTCAGTGAAACCAAATCCGTTTGGTATTGATAAATTCTATTCGTTTTTTTCTTTTCTTCTTTTGAGAACGAGTACACGCAAGATTATCAAGATCGTCAGACTGAAATGATTTAGGCAAAAGGAGAGACATGTTATTTTCTAATGTTACGAATATTTTTACAGTTTTCTTTTTCAATATCATTGGAATATTTGCCGAAGCATTTTCGTTGCCACGGAATTAACTTGTGATATCCAAAAAGTAATTGTCTACTGTAATGTATAGTAATTTTTAATACTGCCACAATGTAATGCGATAATCAATTAATACTGCCGGAAAGAAAGAGAAGGTACATTTTAAGTTTCGGATCCTCCAAAGTGCTTCCAATCTACCGTTCCCTATTTGTTTTAAACACCACGAGCCCATAAGACTGCGAATACAATATTTGTTAACGGTTTTTTAGTAGATTTTATTCATATTTTGTAAACGGTGCAAAGTATAACGTGATCATTTTGCTGTGCCCTTGTAAACCGTCTAACACATTTGTTACGCACTCCCTTCAGTGGGATTGCCAGGGTTTCACAAAATAAAAAAGAAATTCACATAACCAAGGTCTTACTTTTTGTTTCTTAATAATTACTTAGATTTCTGATCCATTGATGCATTTGTTAAAAAGCTTTTATAGAGAGCTTCGAAAGGTTTGTAAGATATTAATATATATCAAACAAATGTTTGATCTGTGGATTTTATTTTTAGTGTCTTCATCGATGTCGGATAGATCCAAGAATTGAATAATTTGTGAGTCCTTGCCCAGGGATGCTTTTTTGGAGGATCTTGGATGCCTAAGTGCTCTAGATTCAGGCTTTTCAAGTCTCCGATAGGTCTTGGAATTCTTAAAATAATATAAAACTATTACTCTTGTGTTTTTATAGCATTAAATATTCTATTGTATTTTTAATGAGTAAATCTGTTTAAAATTATGTCATCTCTATCACCCATGATAGTGGATTGGCAAATTGAGAGCAAGAAAGTGCCCAAAGGAGTAACTTTTAATTTTGTTTCTCTACCGTTTAACAGAATTCTCTGAATTGATCTTTGGTTTCCTGTAATGATCCGTATACATCGGTACCCAAATCTTCTGATTCTCGTGCTCAGTCTTCAGTCTTTCACACTCAATGCTTTCAGCCAATCCAAAATTTGTCAAATTTCCGTAAATATTTATCAAGTCCAAAGTTGGTAGCCACTCGCCTCTCCTTTGTCAGTGAAAAATGATTATTAGAGACATTTAGACGAAAATAATTTCACTTAATTTTATAGATCTTTCGCTGGCACAAATGTTATTAAGACTTTGTCTCATTGTTGCAGAGAAGATGAACACTTTTTGCTTTGAAATAACGATCACCCTGTCTCGAAGCACAAAAGGTGACTTTGCATCTCTCTAAGATGAGTACCTTGTGTTGTAAACTCTTCGTCTCAGTTCTTTAGATTTCTCTGGCAAAATTCTGAACGACAGATCATAGGTTGTCGTCATATTTTTTAAATATGCCTCTCCATGATGGTCCATGAGATTCTTACGATCCAGACCCTAAATAATGCCTTGGATTCATTACCAACTTTCTTAAACGCACATTATAATAAAGATAACCAACGTTCTAAAATATATTTCACATAAATCTCCTTAACAGGTATGATGAATACGTTTATATTTTTGGTTTTACTGTTCTTCTAAGTAAATAAACAAGAATTCCTAACCTCATTATTTAATTTATTATCCCATAGATCGCATTCATCTCTTCTTACAAATTCTTTGTCATAAACTGGATAGCTGGTTTCATACGTAGAGCACCATTCATCCGGAGGAGGTTTATACTCACTGCGACGATCAAACCAATTCCCTATAAGGACCTTTGAACTGTAATACGCTTTGGTTAAGTGTGGTCCTCGACTCTCCTCCTTTTTCTTCAAGTATTTTGCCTTCAAGCCTGACACCGAAGGCACCCTCAATGAACTCCGACAAGGTGCATCGAAATTGACAGAATACATTTTCTTCGATATAATTAAAAATTACTGTAAAAGTTTTCTAAAAGGTTACTGAGCTCTCTGAACATCACTGCATGTGATGTCGAACTTCTTTTGATTGATTTCTCAAGTATAAAGCCTACTAGCCATTTATAAATTTATCTACTACATTCTGTTACCCTCTTTCATCTTTTATTTTTATGATATCAATATGAAATCATTACGAATACATTAATAATTAAAATAAATAGTGAGATTTAAAACAAGTACATCGTGCTCCAAAGTATCCTTGGAGAAACATTGAAAATATTAACATACCCTATGGGGTTTTTTAAATATTCAAAGGTGTGCAGTATTTGTCAAGACAAGGATACCTTAAAGGGAAGAAAATTGTTGTACAGGGTGCTTAGTAATTAAATATTATTTATAACATTACACTTACACGAGAATCTAAAGCTTTTCACAGGTTACATAGCATCGAAGTGAAACCTGTGAGCCTCCTGCAGTTTCTCAATTTTGTCCTCTCGTCTCTCCTTCCAATAGAGAGCCACGATTATGGCGGAGATGAGAATGCATGTGGCCAACAAGGCTGCTGCACTCAACAATATCAACTTACTGGGTGTTACAAACAGTTGAGCCTTCCATCCAGATGGTTTATCTATCGGATTGGGAATCACCACCATCTGGGAGTTCGGAATTATTTGAGGCCACTCACGGGATTCCCCAGCTACCTGAAAAAGTAAACAAAACTATTTGTATCCACTTCACTAGAAAATATAAACAACAAAGCTCTTTTCAATTTCCATTGTAAACTGCTGACATTACCAAAACGTTTGATTGCAATAAATAAATCAATTCCATTCTTTGAAAACAAATTGATGGAGCGAAGATCGTAAAGAGGTTAGTATTAGGTATGAATTGAAAGCACCAACATATTACTACTTTTACTCATTTTCATTAAAAAAAGATCGCATGTCGACTCGTATAAAATTAAAGTATGCACAAAAATAAACTAAATCAATCCTCTATAAAATGCTTGCACTAATCCAAGATTCTAAAATTGTAAATTTTCAATCAGCCTCTATAAAGAACCTCAAAGGGTTAAGTAATGTCGAAGAAAAATACTGTTGAGAATGGATTTGATGGAATGAATGGAAAAAAATACTTTATTACATCCTTTGATCCAATTCAATGTGAGTAAATTTGATCGATACCAAGTTAGTTTTGAGGCTAAGAAAATCGATGCCAAAAATACTTGGTATCGAGTAAAATACTCATACATAATTGTATCGGTTTACCCCTACTCAGAATGCCTTTTATCTACTAACCCCTATGATCAATGTATCAATGAAGTTCGGTGTCCTGCCCAGGCCAAATGTAGTAAATGGTAGATTCAGCGAAAAGTGAGCACTCTGCGGTAACTGAGCAGCGATGCCGTTACGAGGACTGCCATCTTGAGTTGTCGTCTTGTAGGATATCGAGGGTCCTGGTAGATTGGTCCCATAAGTACGTTTCTTCTTTCCAAGGATGCCAGGAGAAATAGGGTATTTACTGTTAGTACGTCCAGTGAGTACCATAACTTTAATAAAGTTTGCATCGTAGTCGAGACTATTCTTGAATGCAGCAGCTTGATAAAGGTTGCGATTTTTATCTAATTCGATCAGTATGACATCCAAGATACCGTCCTGGTAGAAGTCGTAGAAAACGGCCATTACCGTTTCGTTATAGAATGGATTTAAGGCATTCCACATGACTTGGAAGGTCCTGTTAAGATTTCCACAGTTGTTGCAGGCTACATTCTGCAGTAGCACCGATCTGAATTGTTTCTTAGTGTCGGAGTACAGTGTAGCCAGAAGGTCTGGGTATCCATCCATATTAAAGTCTCCCCAGCGGACAGTAATAGTGTCTGTGTAACGTCTGCCATCAATTGGCACGAAGCCCCATACATTGTTTTCACTATCCTGGAAGTTTAACTTCGGCAACACATGCCAGCCATCCGAATAGATCATAATAGTACTGTTTTTGCAATCACTGTCGAAGCATACTGGCAGGACCAAATCCATCTTTCCAGTGAGTTCAATGTCCAGAAACAAAGACTGCCCTATGTATCCAGAGAACGAGGACTGACGTGATATCTCATGAGGCAGTTCTATAGTTTTGGAGTACACAAACCCAGACCCATGTGATTTGGTAATTCCATGCCATATCTCAAAGTACTCCTTTGTGGTAACAACAAGATCTGGAAGAAAGTCTCCATTCAGATCAAGAAATGCATTAGAGTGAGGCGCCCGTATAGGCAGCAGTCTGTCCAGTCCACCCTTTTCCATTGGTATTACGCTTTGGTTTGCTCTGTCTGGAGTAAATATCCAAAAAGTTCGCTGATAGTTGACATCTAAGCCAAAAAGGTCTATAATCATATCCTGATTATAATCTATGGCCAGTGGTTGACCCTGCATTTCTAAGAGGGGCTTTGACTCGTCGCTGCAATTAAGCTGCCCTTCGCCACCCCATAGAACGTAGACATTGGTCTTCTTCTTATCGTCCTCAATATGCAATGTAGTTACTAATACATCCATGAACACATCTCCATCGAAATCTCCAGGCACGACACTGGTCACTAAATCACGAAATGTACAACTAAGATTTGTCCCAGGGCGTAGGAGTGGCTCCTGTTCTGCTGCAAGTAGAATCTCTAATGTTTTGCCATCTTTACGCAGCACAAATACATCCGTTAGCTCGTCGGAGTTGAAATCTCCAAAGGCTGCCGGCATAGCATCTAACACATTGCCGAAGACAGAGGGTGTGATGTCGCTGCATTTCACGATCGTTAGGCATGCGAGTGCTGCGAAGATTCGTATTGTCACCCCCATTGTACCTCTTGTCACATTATCTATGAATTGAATTGTGGTATAAAATATGTTGCATCAAAATATCCCTTTTAGCATATGCAGATATTGGCTAAAATACTTTATCACATTTTTCAAGGTCCTTACACTTTCTGGATCCTAGACGAAGAGCACGATCCACTGTAATAAATCCTGCTGTTACTTCGGGCATTTAATGTTAGTCTATATAAATTGATCAGATTGCTCATTGTTGCTGCATCGGATAATTCTAATGGAGTAATTTTTCCAATGTATGCCAATGGAGCACTAGCTCTTAACACGACCACCTGCAAACAACAAAATAATGTTTAACACCCTCGTGATAAGAAAAAATACCATGTAGCAGGTTAACGTGAATCACAACATACCAATTACGTTGTCAATGCTGTTTCATGATATCGTCGATATCGTGCAATTAACTAGGCTGAGCTCATCACGAATAAACATGTGGAAAGTCAAGGCAATATTACGTCTGCGTCAAACTAATCTAAAAGCAGATTTGCACCGAACGATAACGACTATGGAAGGAGCGCCTGATTTGTTAAAACTCGATATCTACTTTTTATCTCAAAATAGCGGATGTAGAAGTAAAACACCTTTATTCTCCCGTCACATCGAAACCTGCCTAAGGTTAAACAAATAATCTGTATACATGCAAACAAGAAATTCGTAGTTAAAACGCAAAAAAATTTTCTGTTTTCAAACAAAAAAAGATGGAAGAAAAATATCATATGCGAAAAAATAGGTATCAGAAATATGAACATATACATATAAGACTTTTTAATGCTACAATTCAACGGTGGATACGACTAAAAGATTTATAAATACAGAGATGAGTGATAAATATCAGTATGTATACCGTGTGGTGAAAACGGTATTAAGGCCCGATTCGCAACTCGAGTTAACCAAAGTTTAACTGGTTTATACACGGTTTAAACGTACAGCAAATGACTTAAATCCGAGTTAACTGAAGTTTAATTGATTTATAGACGATTTAAACATACTACAAACCAATTAAACTTGAGTTCTGGAATTGGGCCTTAAATCTGTCGTAAACCGATAAAACTCTGGTTAACTGGAATTCTAGAACCGGGTTTAGAAGTTTAGTTCAGCAAGCTTATTATTCCGCTCATCTCTGTTATTATTAGCAATAAGCAGCATCAAGCGACGAACAATAACCAATAAAGTGAATTTTCAATTTCCATGGAAAATAAGCCCAGTAAATTCCAGATCCAGTAAATCAGACCCAGTAAATCCGAATTTAAGTGTCGATCGGGATGCTCAGGATCGATCTGTGCATTTATCAATGCGATGGAAACTTGCGATTTATTGGATCGAGATCCGATAAATCCCGGGTTTAGGAGTACGATGGAGACGTAGTCGATGTCGATATTACGTATATGGACAAGTTAGCGACCTCGAGTAGGAGTTTGGCCGGTCGGCGCACAGATGGCGCTAGAAGCGGACGATCCTGGAGGCGCGGCGAGGCGCACCATCGGCGAGCACTTGTGCGGGGACTCGGGGTACTCGATCGAAAAATGTGCCTTGCCCCGTGTACGTACGCGACGTCTCCACGCACCCCTGCCCGCTGAAACCCGCGGCCGGAGTTGCGAGCCCACGGGGACCAGGAACGCGGCGCGAGGTTAGGACGGCCCTCGAGCGGCGCCCACCGTCCGGAGGAAAGAGGACACCCTTCGGAGCGAGCCGAGCTGCAGATGGTCGACGAGCCGAGCTCGTCCGATTCCCATTGATCGTATTTATAGTGCACCCTCGGTTTATTTTTACGTCCGGGTCCGATTGGAAAAACGATGTTCCCGTCCGCCGGCTGAAGGAACACTGCCTTTTCGTAAGTCGACGGTCTACGCGATCCCGTTGATTCGGCTCTATCGAGAGAGCAGAACGTACTCGCTTTTAATTTATCCTGGATCATGTATGTTGCGTTTATGACTCCGTCTCTTAGCCCGGAGGACCCTGTCTTTCTCATTTTCTTTCCTACCTCCATAGGTGTGTGGGTGTCGACGCGCTAAAATCTACGCTTTTCCCTAGATCCTGCGATTCCCTTTCGAGGCCTACGTCCTATACCCCCGATGCGAAGAATCGACACTTGGAAGAGGACTCTGAATTTGGGTTTCTAATTCGGAGCATTTGCTGGTTTATTTTTATGTATCGACCCGATTGGAAAAACAATGCGCCTGTTAGCTAGCTGAAGGAGAGGTACCTTTCCGTAAGTCGATGGTCAATTTATTTGGGTTGAACGAGAAAGAAGGATGGGCCTGCTTTTTCAGGATTATCTGTGGTATTATGAGTTCCATCTATTTAATCGGGATGTTTCTTTTTCTCTGTCTCTTCCCACCATGTCTTTAAGTGCATGGACATTGGTACGTTAAATGTATGCTTTTTCCGAGATCCTGAGATCCTGCATTAATGTCTATGTCCTGTGTCCCTAAAGCAAAATGGACTTAATGCGCATTTCCTGATACGAGGTCCTGAATTTAGGTCTCTAATTTAGAACATTTGGTGTCAATCGTCTCTGGTTTATTTTTATGTTTGAACCTTAATGGAAGTGGTGCATCTGTTCATCAGTTAAAAGAGGGCTACCTCCCCGTAAGTTGATAGCCTGTGTCAATCGGTTAATTAGAGCCTCCTTAATCTGTCCATATATTCTATTAGTGACATTGGGTCAATCTGTATGTCCATCTCTTTCTTTCTCTTTTTGGTATCTCTGTATGTGGGTATAGATATGTCAAATACGCAATTTTTCCCAGATCCTGTAAACAAGGCCAATATCCTATGCTTCCTAATGCTTGCGGCAGTTTGAATGTGAGAATCATCGAATGTAAGGATATGTGATAACGAAAGACAGTGGTCATTCTTACATAACTTACTACCTGACTTCTCCTTGGAATAATGAATCGGTTACAGAGGAGACACGTCCGTCCACTGTATCTGTATTAGCACTGAAACTGATTAGCATAATCGTTTGTCATTCTTTGGTTTTCACCTATTTGTCACTGTTTCAGGCTCTATATAATTATGAAATTGAAGTAATAATTAATAGTTTTGAAAGTTTATTTGATGCTTAGTATTTACTATTAATGGCAGAAATCTTTTACTCGTTTTCGAGGTTAGCCACAGTTCCATCCTATCTCCTGAAATCCCTGTATGCTTGGCAAGTATTTGTTAATCATCTCCAATAGAGATGTAACCAAAAATTGTAAAGGGTCGGTGGCTTTAGAATATGTTTGTGTCTGTCCGTAGGGCAGTGGTGTGTCTGCCTGTGGGGTGACAAAGCACGTCTCACTGGGGCGAAAGCATCATTCTTAAATCTGAAAAATATAAGGTACGAGACCTTACGATGGAATCTTCGATAGCAGGACGAAGGCGAGCTGCAACCAGACATTCCGCTGAGGACCAGGCTCTCGACCAAATCGCCAAGGAGGTATGTTTTGGTGCCTGAATGATCGAAGATGAGCTTTAGTAATTAATGATAAGCTTTTGTCCAGGTATTTGAGGTTAGGAAAGAATTAGAGTTCCATTTAATACACTCAAAGTTTCAATTAATAATTGATATCCATACTGAAGAAAATGCATACATTTTTTAGAATTAGAGTTTCCTTTTGCCTAAAGTTAACCTCCAAACATTAAAAGTGACAGGCGGACAATCATGGCTATGATGCGTGTTTATGCACACTTCCTACGAACTGGCCTGAGCCATTAAATTCGCGATAACGTGTATTATCAGCCATCTGGATGAGCGATATAAATTTTATCGCTAAAACCGTCTATTTCTTCGGCTACATACATATGTGTGAGGTTTCCTGCGTCTTTATACCAATGCAGCATAGAAGTGCTGGAGTAGTGAGTCGATAAGAATACACAAGTGAGGCGAATGTACAGTGGCGTGAATGAGGAATAAGGATAGATTGATAATTGGATTGTAGTATAGACTGAGGGTGTGCTTCATATAAATGTACTTTTATCCTTCAATTGAGCCCTTCCGCTCAACCGATCTCCAGGAAATCACATAATCAGGCCTCGTAACCAGATCCTAACCTTGCTTCATCAGGCCTTAATCTGATATTAATCAACATTTATCAATCACTTTGCAATCAGTTGAAACCGCAAGGCATATAACAATCGATGGACTCTGCTGAAATAACATTACAATTATGCAGCGCAGTGAATGAGAATAGTGACATTTATGTTCTCTGATGGGAAGAAAACTAACGTTAGGTCTAACATTTTCAGGCCGAAGCGAGATTAGCAGCCCGAAGACAGGCTCGAGCCGAAGCAAGAGAGATTCGAATGCGCGAACTGGAAAGACAACAAAAGGAGGCCGAGGAGAATGCAGACAGAGTTTATGATATGTGTGCAGGTATTTAGGATTTTTATTAACAACAATATCATAAAAACATCTTCACATCATTTTATCTCGGAATTTCTCGCTCTGTTCTTAGAATTTTTTACACTAAACTATAATGAGACTTCTAGAGAGATGCATGTTATCTACTAGTAAAAGGTAAAATCATTGTACGAAAGCTTGTGTTTAACATTGTTTATTTATTCCAGCCGATGCTACCAGGACGATGAGGGTAACGCCGGACCCGGTGAGGACTTCTCGTCTGCTCACGAATTCCAACAACTTCCAATCGAGTCGAAGGTCCTCCGAAGACTCTCTGGAGGATGCCGGAGTGAACAGGGATCTTCGAGTAATTTTCAACCTTCTTTTCGGCTGCTATTTATAATGATACATGATCATCTACTGCAAATAGTTATTAAGGAATCGTAGCTGATGGGTTTGCTTTTTAATTCGATTATCCTAACAAATAGCTGGAGCTGAAGGAGTTGGAGGAGAAGTTCAGGAAGGCGATGATAGCCAACGCCCAGCTGGACAACGAGAAGTCTTCCTACGCCTACCAGGTCGACCTATTGAAGGATAAACTTGAAGAGCTGGAGGAGACCGTGGCTCAGCTTCGACGAGAGCTCAGGGAAAAGAACCGAGAGGCCGACCAGGCGAAGAGGCTCAGCCAACGCCTCAAGGAGGACCTCGACATCTGCAGGGCACAGTTGCTCGAAAGGGACACGCTTATTCAAGTAACTTGAAAACAGTTGTACCTCGGAGAGATTTAAAGATCTAAGTGCTTACTCATACCTGATTTTTGTGAGTTTGTTTAAGTAATCTTAGTTAAAGATTATAAAATTGATATTAAAAGCGCTTTAATGGAAACAAAAAAAGGTATGAGTAGGAGTATGTTAAAATACAGTATCGCTCATACATTTTGAGACGTCTCACTATTAGCATTAAATAACGCCTTTTATCTCTAGTCTTTAAATATGCCCTACCGTAGTTACAAAAGTGGTCTAATGAAAAAATCTGAACCAAAAACGAGTTTATACCATATCTGTTGTACGCATTTAAATTACAATAATGTAAAGTTAGATTCATAATTAGGAAACAAAAGATTTTCTTAGGCCACTTTCATAATTATCGGCACATAATGACTAAAAGTCTTTTAACACTAAAAGTGAGGTATGTCTTTGAGCCTTAGTCTTCACTGGAGGCCTATTCTGTAATTCGTAACGACAGATATCATTATCGTTAGCCCGTGTTATTCCAATGAGATAACCTATAAAGATATCTGTCGTTACGAGTTCGTGAATAGGCCCTTTAATTAGGGGAGTAACGGATAAGCTTGTAGCATTGTTCTGATAACTAATCGGATTCCTTTGTTGCAGTAGAAGAGGGATGTAGGTATGATTCTAGAGAAAAGAATCTGGAATTTAAAGCGGAATCTCGTTTCAGGAGAATGGCCTGGTCATCGTGGAGGACGAGGGAAGTGAGCCGGATGAAAGCGCGGAACAGAACGGACCTCACGTGAGAAGGAGAGTTCTAGTCAGTACGGAAGCTGCGGAACTGCTGCAAAACGCTGGGGAGGGCTCGTTAGGTTCGTGGAGAACCGCATTTCACTACACAGTTAAAAATATCTGTTCGAAATACATGTAATATACATGTTATCGAGGATTGTTCAAGATATTTTGAAATTTCGAACACATTTGTGTTTGGGATTTAAGAAGTATAAGAATTTCAGAGCGTACGTGGGCTCATTAGGTTCGAAGAAATGTTTATGCTAATTCAGTTAATAGAACAATACAAGGATGAATGCAAATAGTAACTTCCTGAGGGGGAAAAAAAAAGGAAAAAGAAACGAATAAACAGCATTTCGCTTTCTGAAATGGGTCCCTTTCATAAGGCAATAGTATAACAATACCGTCCCACGAGAAGTTTCACTTCCATAAAAATCTTATTCGAGTTTATAGAAAGGGATCTTAAAAAATGTGTCCTGTGTAAATAACTCCACAAGTTTTCTTCTAGACGTTCGACTGAGGAAGTTCGCCTCGGAGAAGAAGGAGCTCCAGGATGAGATCCGGCATTTGAGGCTGGAGCTGGAGGAGGCGAGGAACCGCACGAGGCCGGAGAGATCACCAGGTTGGAAGCGTCCTCCCTTTTTCGACGCTCTTCAGGGTCTGAAGATCCATTTTCTGAGGATGTCAAGGTACTCAACCTCGTTTCTCTGCCCTTAGGGGGCTTGATCGACTCCGAGGACATCCAGAGGGAGGCCAACAAGCACCTGGCCGACTACAAGTTCAAGCTGCAGAAGGCAGAGCAGGACATGTCCACCCTGCAGGCCACGGTGGCTAGGCTGGAGAGTCAGGTGATCCGCTACAAATCGGCCGCCGAAGCCTCGGAGAAGGCCGAGGACGAGCTCAAAGTCGAGAAGAGGAAGCTGCAGAGAGAGGTGCTCTTTCATTCTCTCCGGGTTCATTATTCAAGGATACACCGTTCAAAATATGTGACATGGGGATTTTTATGATTACTTTTATTGATACTAACAAATCACAACGTCATCGAGGGACGTTACGGCATTTCAATGATTTTCATTAGTCTTTCAAGGCCAAGAAGAGAAAACTACAGACGCGATCGTTCTCGCTGGGTTTAGTCACGAAGACGCTAGAAAATCAAAACATTTTGGCATTGAAAATCGAAATTTCAAGGTCGGGGAAGAGAAAGCCGCAGAAGAGAGCGGTGCTCTTTCTTTCTCTTCGGGGTAAGTTTCGAGGATGCCTTTGGCGTTAAGAAAAGAAAGCGTTATCGAAGGAAATTTCGGGATTTCGATAGTCAATCGTCAGTATTTCAGACAGATACCAACGCGTAGGAAATTCGTAAAAGTTAAAAGAACTATTCGAGGAGCGGTAAGAGGAAATATGGGTTTCAGGGATTCAAGGTGATATTTTGGGCGATATTCCGAGGTTAATGAATGTCGCCCAGGGTATAAGCTGAGGCTTTTCGAAACTTCGGCTTTCGAAGCTTCCAGGTACACCGACTGGCTGAACCGATTTTACTTTTTCTAGCAAGTTAAGTTACTTAATTTGCATTGCGCCACCCCGGAAGCTCGCGAGTTCACGGACGACATGAGATTGCTCTGAGAGAGTAGAGAAACGCTAATAAGGGGTGAGCACACCTTTTGTGCCCGTTTTCCCCGGTCCGTGGGAGTATTTCTCCGTTTTCTCACTTCCCTTTGTCACAGAGTACCGAATTAATACCCCTTTTGTGTGAGGTAGTTCCTATAGAGCTTACATAAATGGAGAGAAAGTTATGGTATCGATCGTGTATTATATATACATAGAGTGTTTGTTATACAAAAAGGGATTTTATATCTTTAAACTTTTCTGAAAGCATGTCTAAAGGCTTTTGTCCAAAATCAAAAAACCTGGTCACAGGCCTTTGACGGGTCTTTTTTATTTCATCTTGGACGCCTTAACGTGAAGTGAAACCCCCTTCAAATCAGTCAATTCGAATACAACACTTTTTTTTAAGGGTATTAGACCAAACTGTCCGAAACTTTGACACATCGCTCCTGATCATCTAAGATTTGTCCTGACACATTCAAAATTTGGATTTTTGGAAAAAAATTGTTTAACTTAGCCCAGACCAGAACCAAAATGGCGTCGAGCTCTCATATTTCGATCAATATATAATTATCGAAGGCTCCGATATGAGAAACGAAAGGGTCAGGACAATTTTACGACAATTTAGAACACTCTGGTAATCGATAAACTCGCATTTGAACGGGATAAAGGCAAAAAAAGTGTTGTATGCACTTCTATGCTAAAACGATGGGAATACGAGGTCTCGGAGTGAAAATTTAATTGACCTGAAAATCACAGATGGCGCAGGGTGTTCCTCTGCAGTCAATTAGGGCCCCAGAAAGTACGAATCCAGGGGATTTCTGGAGTTTTACTTCCATTTCTTGATATTTATTGTACGAAAACGACAGGTGAAGTGAAAGTGGCGCCAAACAGGTTTCATTTATGAAACGTTTCTCCGAACGATGTGTACCGAGTCGTTTCAACGTTTATAATGTAAATATGGACGCTATAAGGAAGGTCCTGGCACTCATGACATTTATTCTCTTATGCCAAATTTTTCTAGACATTTTTTATAAAAATATCTATAAACATAGATTTTTAAGAAATTGAAATTTCGGGGGTATCAGGACCTTCTTTACAGTCTTCGGGTATGGTACATGGTAAAGATTGAAACGACTCGGTATCTCCAATTCAGAGAAGTTTCATGAAGGAGACCTCTTTGATACCACTTTCATATCAATCCTTAAGTAGAAGATATCTCTATCTAGCCTCCTCCGGGTAACCTCTTCTATTCATGTCTACTTTATTCCTACAATATATAATACATATAACAATCTCCTTCATTTCTTTAAGCTCTTTGGCTCATACTGCAAGCCCCCTGTGTTACTCATCTCGTAAACTCGCAATCATAACTATTCGTGTTTTCCTTCTCCGAAGAAGTCCAAGTGTCACTAGGTAGAGTGTAGAAATAAGGCCGGAGTCCCATTGAGCGCGTCGAGTGTGACCCAGAGCGCGGCGCGTCAACGCGTCGTCGAGGAAAAACCGATGAAAATTGTTTTTCAGGTGGGATGAAAGTGGCATTTAAGACCTCTCGTTTATGAAACTCTTTTCTCCTAACTGGATGTACCGAATCATTTGAAATCTTACCACGTGAATGTGGAGGCTCTATGGAAGGTCTTGACGCCCATGAAATTTCAAAATTTCTAAAAAATAACAAAGAAGATTTATAGAAATGAAATTTCATGAGTATTGACACCTTATTGCCTTCATATTCACGTGGTAGATTTTCAAAAGGTTCGGCACATTCGGTTAGAAGAAAAACTTCACTGACGATTGACTCCTCAAATGCCACTTTCGTATCGCCTTAATACTGGAACTCCCAGAGATCGTGCATATCTGTTTATTAATAGTAAATAAAAATTATTAGACAACATTGCGATGAGATAATTCTAACAAAAGTCTAATTTCAGTCTACTTTATTAACTAATAGAAGATATGCAAAAGCAAATATGGACCCGGGTACTCAAAATGTACCCCTTGGGAGTTCTAGTGTTAAGATGATATGAAAGTGTCATATATACATCCTAAAAAGTCCAAATATTTATGAAACTTTTATCCAAATTGGGTGCATCGAAACATTTGAAACTTCATCACGAGATTATGGAAGCCCTAAGGAAGAATGTGATGCTCGTGAAGCTTCATTTTTCGGGGGGAAAAAAAAAGTGAATTTATCTTGGACAAGAATCAAAAGGACATTTTTTTTTTCATTTTTTTTCGAAAACTGAAATTTCACGAGCATCGCGTTCTTCCCTTGGGGCCTCCATAATCACGTGTTAATGTTTCAGATCATTTGGTGCACCCGATTTGGAGAAAAGTTATATAAATACTTTCACGTTTTGATATATTCGCGATTCACGACTCACGATTTGATATGGAATGACCCTTTCATGTCACCTTAACCCTTTGCACCCCTTTGTGGAGAGCGACTCGACATTAGGGAGTCGATTCTGTAACTTGAATCGAATGAAAATGCTTTAAGTGACCATCTGCGATTCTGGACCTGTGCACTGTGATGAAAATGTGAGAAACTTCGCGTGAGACTAGTCGACGAGATCTCGAACCGAGTTCTCTCAATCTGGAGATCTCACATTTTCATTCGGCAGATACAAAATCAGGTAGAGAAATTCGCGTGATATGACAGTGCGAGAAATGAGCACTCTCACCATATCTACGGAATCGACCCCCCAGCAATCGATGTCTTAATAATTGGGAGTGGCAAAGGGTTAAGGATACACATTGATCCCGGTTGAAACTAATTTTTCCTTGCGATTTCGCAGGTGCGGGAGTCGCAGGGCCGAGTGGAAGAGCTCGAGACGGCGAATTCGCATCTGCAACGGCGTCTGGACAAGCTGAAGAATGCGAAGTCGGCCCTGCTGAAGGAGCTCTGACGGGAGGACGGCACTGGCTCGGGATTCGCGAGCGAGGTGGAGGAGCGCCGGAAAAAGGGCTCCTAGCCTTAACGTTAATTAAGAAGTTATCACGGATTCCAGGCCGATTAACCACCGAGCGAGCCCAGGCCTCGAGAGACCTTGGACCTGGACACCGATACATTATCAACTAGAGTTAATAAACTCTGCTCTAAACATTCTTGTTCGAGGGGCTATTCACTTAGAAATCGGTGAAAACGTTTTCCTTCTTTGAGAGCCGATCGCCTTTGATATCAATTGATAAACAATACGATTCGGTAACAAGGGACGTTCGGTCTTTAAATTGTGACAGCGTTCGGTGATTTCCAAAGACTCCCCCCCAGTGATTTCTGGGACCCGATTCTGCAATTCATGCGGATGTTTTCGCATAGGGATAGATTTGCATGAAGAATTTTTCATTGTTGCGAAGTCGCGTTATTGGTCAACATTTGAAAATCTTGTATGAAACTATCAATTTCGCGTGCGAATGTTGATCGCATGAACTCGAGAATCGGGTTCATAGCTTGCGATCTTTAGCTGGGGGTCGATTCCGTATCTCTGGCGGGAGTGCTCGCTTCTCGCGCTGTCATCTCACGTGAGTTTGTTCTCTCCGCTTCTTCTAGTGAAAATGTGAGATCCTGGACTGAAAGAACTCGGTCCGGGATCTTGGAGTTTCTGGTCGAGTGGTCTCACGCGAAGTAGCTCGCATTTTTACCAAAGTGAGAACTACAAAATCGTGCGAGGTGCTCCTTTGTAGGATTTTCACTAGATTCGAGTTATAGAGTCGGTCCCCTGATTTACACGTGATTTAAAGCGTTAAAATACATGATTTTCTGAGTGAATATCCTGTCGCTCTTAGTCGGTAACCGAAGGACGCTCGTCCTTCCCGATTTAATGATATCGGCGAAATTAATTACTAAAATCAGTACATGGCGATATGTCAAATCTCGAGTTTCCGAATTCACCTAAAAAGAGTGTTCAAAATAGTTTTCATGTATACTCGACTTGCGTTTTTTTTTTTAACCAATTTTTATGGAATCTTTAAATGTAGCATGTATTGACGTTAAGGCTGGGTTTAACATCATGTAACGTGATTTTTAAGTGGTATGAGTACATTGTTTAAACTCTTTAGTTACGAAACCCTGCTAGTGGCCTCCGCCTGATCGATAGTTTTTTTGAGAAATTATTATATACAATATTAACTGTGGCCCAGTTACTCATACATGTGATATGTACATCTCCATCGTAATTAAAGGGTGCGTTTTTGTGTCGGAATACATCATGATGTCAATATGGTACGTTTAAATTTTCATAAAAATTCGTTGGAAAATGGAAAAGTTATTCGAGCCTGAATAAGGAATCTTAAAAAGGACACCCTGTATATCTGTACCGTAGAGGTAAAGAGCAGTAAGCTTATTTTTGGAAACTTCCAAAAAACCTTTACTACGAGACAAAATCAAAATCGGATAGTGTAAAAAAATAATAACTGTATATTAACAAAATGTGGACTTCAAGTTGTTTACCTCTACGGTGCAGATATGAATATGTTCATGCTTTTCCTTTTTCAGTTCGTGACTCAGTTAATACCTTTTAAACGCTTAATTAGTGTAGCAATTCAAGAGAAACGCAAGTGTACATTAATTCCTGGTTGGAAGGAATTTGCAAATGTATCGAAACGAATTTAGAATGAGTTTCATTCGCATCGGTGTCCAGGTCTGTGCTCTCCTTGCTCGGACACAACTCCTTCTAGGCGCCGTACTACGTCTCGTTCTGATTAATACAAGCAACAAGTGGTCTAACTTAATTCTTTTGTAATTATTATCTTAATTATTATTATTATTAATTAACTTATACCAAGATTATTGTATTTTAACTGGTGATTTACGTTTACCCCCTTTTTTTCTTTTTTTCTTAGACCGATTCTCGATTTTTGTTTTTTCTTCCTTCTTCATTTTACTTTCGTTTCATCTTCCGCGTACGTTTCGCAGGATGTACAAAGTCGACCGATCGCAAAGAGATTTTGTTACAGCTCTTCGGAGTGCACTTCGAAGAGAGATGGAAATTGGCAAGCGAATTGGTTTAGTTGGATGGGATTTAATTTGCTTTTTCCTTTTCTTTTTGAAGCCCCAGTGAATTGGCCTGTGGTAGAGAGTTGGCGTGGATAGGGAGTTAACAATTGTACATACATTAATGCATTTATATATTGCGTGGAACTGAGCAATTGCCAATTGTTTTCTTTCTTTTTTTTTTCTTTCTTCCAAAAGCTGGGATTAATGTAAGATGAATGTCCGAGAGGCCGACAACTCATTTCCTTAATCAAATCCAATACTTTGGGTATTGTTGCATCTATCGCGCAGAGTTGAAAGTCAATAATGCTTAATTAATGTTAAATTAATTCTATCAACTGAATGATGGCACGATTAGTTTTGATTGAATGTTGAAGCGAATAGTCGTAAGTAGTGTTCGAGGAACACTGATTACAATTTTATTGCACAAGTGTGCATCACTTCTGTGTACCAAACCTGTAATTGTATTGCTCGAGGTGAAATGAAACATGTCGAGAAATTTGATTGACATCGGTAAAAGAGATTCTTCTAAAGACCTACGTTATCGACGTTCGTATTTATATCGACAGCTGGTCGAATTATATTGCATGTTGTACTAAATGACATCATTTCCATACAATAATTATAAAGAAATCGAAGTAAAACTCCCGGAATCCCTCTGAATTCATGGTTTTTGGAATTATATTGCATGTTGTACTAAATGACATCATTTCCATACAATAATTATAAAGAAATCGAAGTAAAACTCCCGGAATCCCCTGAATTCATGGTTTTTTACGCCCTAATTGATGACAAAGTGCCACCCTGCGCCATCTGTGAATTCAATGCCAACTAATTTCTCTCTCCGAGACCTCATGTTACCATCGTTTTAGCATAGAAGCTCTCGAGACACTTTTTTTGCCTTTATTCTGTTCAAATGCGAGTTTCTCGATTACCGGAGTGTTCTAAATTGTTGAATAATTGTCCTGACACTTTCGTTTCTCATATTAAAGCTTTCGGTAATTGTATATCAGAGCTTTAAATAATTGTATATATAGAAAAAGTGTCTTACTAGAATCGACTACTTCGAGGGGGGGTTTCACTTCACCTTAATCAATCTGATAACAATTATTTGCATTTAATCATTGGGACATTCATCTTACAGGAAGATTATCTGTTCAAGGTATAGCAACACTTTCCTCCGCAGAGCCTTATTTCCCCTAAATTATGTAAAGGGCAATTAAGGAAGAAATGGGAATTGCATTTGACTGCAATGTCATTATTATATGCAATGCAAATGTGCCGACTACTTAATTAATTTCGTTTCGATTGAGGTGTACCCATCACCGATCCCATCTGATATCGATGCTCTTCCTATCGATCGCCAGGCACTAATCAGTGGAGCGGTTGCGAAAAGGTACTCTCCTCGAGAACGCGCCGATTGTTTAAACAATTGGACCCTGTATACCGTTGTAAATTCTCGTAAGGACCGACCGACTCCGATAAGTCGCGATTATGACGCAGTTGAAATTAGGATAATTGAGGTGTAAACGTGTTCGCAAGACCAGTGCTAACCGGAGCTAATTGTAAAATTATCTTAACAACAATTTAATTGAGGAACTACGTCGACGACATATGTACCGAGGAGAATGTTAATTCAGCGTGTGTGTATACCCCGAGAGTCCAATGTAGAGATTCGAGCCTCTCGATTGTGCGAGAGTAGGAAAAACGCGTAAAAATGTTATTAGGTGTTTTGCAAAAACGTATAAAGATGTTAATCAGTGTTTTGCAAAATGCAGGGCCTTGCAAAATTCACGAATACAGAGGAGTCGTAGACTCTTGGACAGTGATCGGGCCTTCGATGGGCCTAATAATGCTCCGAAGGGCTTCGACAGGTGGAATACTTGGGAGGATTTATTTATTTACATGGGCAGGTATTCTAAACGCATAAATAAATAATCCCAATCCGATGGACTTGACGCTTTGCATGTTTTTAATTATTCAATGTGAATTAAACCATCGGTGCCTGCATCGGAGTGGATTAAAGGATTAATCCTACGAAGGGAACTGTATTATACTTGGGAACTAACTTACTTTGTTAAATATTAACAGTATTAATTAATTTGTTCCTTCGGATGTATATGGGGAAACCCAGGGAAAAATTTAATTCAATTACATGGACAGGTGGTCTGAACGTATAAATAAATAATCCCAATACGATGGATCTGGCACTTTGAACTTTTATATCTTGACGTTGCATCTTTTCTAACTGTTCGATGTGAATTAAACCTTCGGTGCCTATGTCAAAGTACATTAGAGATTCAATCTTACGAAGGGAATGGTACTGTACATGAGAACTACTTTCTTTTTGTTAAATATTAATATTAAATAATTTCTTCCTTAGAATGTGAAATCTTCCAAGAGTTCCCCAGCTCTGTATTTGCCAATTTTGGGACGCCCTTAAATATCCGTCAGAAGTATGCAGAATTAACGTGTTTCGTTGAGGGAAAACAATTTTAATACAGTTTTTTATATCGCTTTACACGAAGTTTTGTAAATCCTTGATTTGTACGAATTTTATGTCCCGTCTCTCTGCGGCGATACATTTGTAAAAATCAGGGAATGCTGTGTGAATTCTCCTTTTTACACGTTTCTACTAGTGTCCTCGAAATGGCTTTAGCGTCTCGCCAAATGTTAGCGTTGGACTTTACTTGAGGCAGAATCAAACTGGAAAATATTATTCCTTCACCGTAACGAATGAAATCAGGCATTTTAGTCATGTTACATTGTCAAAAAAAAAAGAAAAAAAAAAGAAAAAAAAGAATCTTGGAGTGTAATAAAGGCGATTCGCCGATATTTCTCAGAAAATATCTAAGCTTTATTATTAGTGTCTAAGTCCTATATGTCGAGGTTTGGTACAAGTCTATCTCTATAGTCAAATGTCTATGCAAAAACTATTATTAAGGTGACGTGAAAGGCGAGCTCGGACGTTCAGTTTAGCGAATAAACTTTCTTTAATAGATGAATGAACCGATTCTGAAATTTTAACACGTGGATCGTTCTTGACACTAAAAAAACCATGCATGCTTCGAAATAAATTTTGTTCATTTAGCTTGGACCAGAACCAAGTCACATACTTTTACCATTATTCACTTCTAAATGACTCTTAAGGGGATGTGAAAATGGCATCCTAAAGCTCAATAGTTCATAAAACTTTTCTACGAACTGGGTGTCTCAAATCCTTTCATACTTTAAAACGTGAATATGGAGACCCTAAGGTAGGTCCTGAAACTCGGGAAATTTCATTTTTTATTAACTATTTTTAAAATACCAAAAAACAAATTTGAAAAGAATTGAATTTTCATGAGTTTCAGGGCCTTCCTCGTAGTCCCCCTATTCACGTTGCAAAGTTTCAAACTATTCGGTAAATCGAGTTGGGTGGTTATATAACCAAACCTCTTCGATGCCACTTTGACATCACCTTAACATTCGCGACCGGCAAATTATTTCCGTTTCAAATACTGAGTGCCAGCGAAAATAATGAAATTCAGAAACTGGTTGCCGCAAACTTGTATCGTGTATCGTTACGGACGTGGTTCACGTCAGCGGCAATCAGGAGTAGAATTTAAAATGACGTTAATTCACGTCAGCGGCAACCAGGAATAGAACTTGAAAGAGACGTGAATTCACGTCAGCGGTCGCGAATGTGTTAAGTAACAATTGAGAGCGTTAGGAATCATGCTCGATCATTTGAAACGCGATAGTCAAAGAAAGTTATACTTTCTCTTCTTTTATATCCTACTATCACCCTCTATTGTGAGAAAAAGTTTATTCCCGAATTTGAAGAATACGGACGCAGATAACTCGTGCACTGTATCTGATAATTGAGCAAAAGATTAATTGCCGCTGAAAGAGCATTCTATTGAAATGACACGAAGTATGCCATTTAGTACGATAAGCAAGGTATGATAACAACATTGTAAATATAAATGTCGGTAACATGGCATGCAGGTTCATATAGCCTGTCAGAATTCTTCTAAATACCTACGTTACCGACGTTCGTATTGCATCAACAGCTGTGACGTAATATATTGAGTATTCTACCGAATGGCATACTCGATTTGTCGTATCCGTAAAATTATTATAAGAAAAATTTAAGGAGAACTGCAAAAGCCTCTTGGGTTTGTGATTTTTGGTACCCTAGTTGACTGCAAAGTGCCACCTCGCGCCATCTGCACCACTCAGTGGCAACTAAAATTTCTTTTCGAACAGGGTTGAGTAGGTATAACTACGAATTTCTTGATACGTCACGTAACATACGTATTTTCTACGTGTATATTACAACGTATAATACGTCCCTAGTTTTCTTCGCGAGCCCGAAGTTGGTTACATCCTATTTCTAAAATAGAAAATGATAAATCCAGTTAGAAATTTGATATTAAACAAGGTTAAGTCGAAAGAATTAGGAACGCAAGTGCCAATTATTTATTCCTTAAAAATATCCACGTGTGTACGTATACGCTAAAAGACGTTTGTAATCTAGCGGATGCCGTATATTGTATATACATCCTGCGGCATCTTCTATGTTGTAAACGTAATTTAGTGGTTTTCTATGATATTCTACGCTAAGCTACGTGGCTTATATAATATATATTGAAAACCTCGAGAAACGTGAAATTACCCAACCCTGTTCTCGATACCTCATGTTACCTTCGTCAACATAGAAGCTTATAAGACACTTTTTTTGCCTTTATCACGTTCAAATGTGTGTTTTTCGACTTCTAGAATATTCTTAACGATTGTTCAATTATCTGGATACTTTTGTTTCTCACATGAGAGACTTTGATAATTGTATTTCGATTGAAATGTGAAAGCTCGACGTGATTTCGGTTCTGGTTGGGGCTAAGTCAAGAAATTTGATTTTCGAATATCCATATTTTGAAAGTGTCAAGATATCTCTAAAGTGCCGACAAGTCATGTGCAACGATTTTAGCCAGTGAACTCTGAAAAAAAAGTGTCTTATTCAAATTGACTAATTTTAGGGGTTTCACTTCACCTTAATATATATACAGAGCAAGTTCCCGAAGACAGAAGGCCCGTGGTGAAATTGTTTATAAAAAGGACGAAGCTTCAAGAGCTGAGAAAAGTTTCTAAAATCGTACAGGGTCCCTACAAAAATTAATAATCAATCTCTCCGGAGACTCTGTGCGTCGGGAACTTTTTTCGAAAACACTTACACGTACGCTCCAGGATAACCTAAAAAATACTTGACGGTTAAAGCAAGAAGATTTAAGCCCACTTGAAAGTAGAGCATCCTTATATTAACCATTAAATGGTTTTAGTATTCTATCGACAAGCCTACAAAAGTTTAGACTTTCCCGGGCTTAAATCCTTTTGCCTGTCAACGATATTTAATCTGTATATCCTGTACGAAACTTTTGTATTCATCACGAGCACTTTCATTAGGCCATGGAGGGATTCAAAGGTTTATCTAAAACTTGGACGTTGGACTTGTTTACATATTAAAAAAAAATATATATATATCATCCCTGGTTGTATTCGACTTGATCCATCAGCGTCAATAAAACCAGGGATCCCCAAATTATATTTTAACCTAAAGATACAGTGTCAAGGTATAATAAAAGTCACGTACAAAGGCTGACGGAAGTATACATATTAAAAAAAAAAAAGCGTAAAAAAAGATTTAAAACGACTGTCTCTATCTTATCTTCTTAATCATAGTGTATCTTTGCAATTGTATGTGTCAACGGAACGCACTCTCCTTCTAACGTATTTTGGTCTCCCCTCAGCACTCCTGTGATGTGTACCTTTATCACGATATTGTGCAACATTTTCGCAGATCTCTTTCGTATTCATAATTTAGAGATCGGTTTCTTTTTTCCTATTCGACACCACTCAGAGGGGAGTTAGACAGGGTTAATAGTTAAGTTTTGCTGTGAACTTCCTTGACCGGGTTTTCCGTAATCTTGCTCGACTGTGGGGATTCTTTCACATTATTGTCCTCTTGCTCGGTGACACCCTCGAGGTAACCTGTAGTTGATGTAGCTTCGCTGCGAGTTAATTTAGTGGTTAATATTACTTGAGTGCGTCTCACGTGTGACATCCTCTTCTCATTAGCCCCGAATTCGTTGCCGCTTTTCAAAGAAGTCAGACTGCTTGTCGATGAGCCAATTGTTCTTCTTGGCATCCGGGAGGTTAGGTTACTTGTTGAAGCAGCTTTAGCATGAACCGCTTTCATCGGTCCAACCTCTTGGGTCTTAGTTGTCGAAGTTTTATCACCTTTCTTGACGTCTACCTTCGGTAGGACTGCTTTGAACTTTGGTACAGGATTAGCATGGAAGTTCCTGCCTTTCTTATCTTCTTCCAGGAGCTGCTTAATTCGTTCCTCCCGTTTCTTCAGCATTAACTTGTTTCTTTCTTCGAAGCTAAAGGGTTGAGGAGCAGTTTTCTTCGAAGGGGTCTTCCTTCCGCTGGGCATGGGAGATTTTCTTCCATTGGGCATGGGAGATATCCTGCCACTGGGTACAGGGGATATTCTCAGCTTCGAAGTAGACGGTTCTCCAAGGTCCTTTGGTTTGTCTGAGGGTTCCACGGGCTTGTCCAGGTTTTCTTCTTCCCCTGAAGGCTTTGCTCTTAATTCCTTCTTACGTTCTTCAAAGCTGAAGGGTATCTGCTCGGTGCACTTCTTTTTCATGTGCTGAAACGGTATGCCAAAATAATTGATCTGCACTTTCTTTACTACCAGATGACCCTCACTTTCTGCTACAACCTTGGGCACTGTTGTCCGATGAGGGACTTCATGATGAAGCTCTCGAGCAGGTTCCTTGGGCTTGGAAGGAGCTACTGAAGCACTAGGTCTCCCAGAACCCGTCAAGTGGAAAGGCTGGGGCACTGTAACTGGTTTTTTCTGCACTTTCTTCAATGGACCTGGTTGCTTTAGAATGTTGGTTGGCACAGGGTTCGCCTTGATTTGATGCTTCTTGAAGTCTTCGAGCTCCAACTTTTCACGCTGTTCCTGACTAAGAACTTGCTTTTGTCGCACTCTGGTCTTCGATCTCAACACTGGGGAGACAGCATGTGTCAATTGGAGGCCAGCCTTCTTCGCAATGGATATTCCAGACGGTGCTGCTTTCTTATTGCTCTTCGTTCGGAATCGTTTTGGAGTTCCTGTTTGGAACTTTGAAACAGCCTCTGCCAAACTGACATACTTACCAGACTTTCTGCGATACTTTGATAGACTGGTTCTGCGATATTGGCATGTAAGCACTCGCTGGTGATTTCGTGCACAGGAGATACTCACTCTGGAACTCGGGCCTGGCAAACCAAAGGAAGTCACTATATTCGAATGCTTTACTTCAAAAATTTGTTGCAGTTCCTCCGACTGTTCCTCAGGACAAGACTCTTTCTCCAAAGCTGCATCATTAGGAGCATTCACGGTACTCAAAGTTTCTTCGTCGAGAGCTTTTGCTTTCGGACTATCGATAGTGGACAATTTCTGAATATTCGACTCCATATGTTCAACTTTGGGGACTTCATTCTCTGGAGTCTCTCCTTGGCAATCAACACTAGAAGTCACATTTGTATTTCTACTCAAAGCTTCTTCAGTGATTTCGGTTCCTGTCTCTTGACAAATGACAGTAGAGGTCATGTTTTTGCATGACTCACTGGACAAGTTAATTAAGTCGTTAGCTAGACTGCGCTTCACAGTTTTCTTTTCTTCAGAATCCACATTTGATGTTTCCTTTGCCATTTCCTCGGTGGATACAATGGTGTTATCCAAGTCATCAAAGGCTGTCATTTCTTCAGGCTTCTTGATATCATTTGAGAGATCCTCCGACAGTACAAGAGCATCTTCGGGAAGCTTTGTGATGTCATTCAAGCTTTCACAGCCAATGGTGGTGGACAGTTCCACTTTCTCGACTTGGCACTCAATGGTCTTGCGACTCTTCGAAATACCTCTCCCTTTGACATTGGGAGTACGAGTTCGATTACTTGCTTGTCCAGGTTGTTGCTTGAGAATGTTAGTCGGTTGAGACTGATCTTTTAAAGTGATGGAGGGAGTACAAATGGTGGTCAGCTGAGTGTGGCTCTTGGATCGCGTGTTTGGAGTGCGCAGAACACCCAATCGAGTCTGACTTGTCGATCGAGTGCTCGGAGTACACATTTGTACCACACGAGACTGACTCTTCGATCTAACATCCGGAGTGTGAGCTCTATTAGAGGAGGGATTCATCGATCTGGCATTAGCCCGCCTCAGTTTTTTCTGCGAAGACAACTGGAGACCATCCATTGCCTCGATTAAGACGTTCATGTAAGTGGTCTCCTTGACCCCTTCCTTGTTCTTCAAATGTGGAGATATTACCTTGATTGGGGTCATCTTTGGGGGTTCCATGGCATCTACGTACTCCGATTCGCTATCTATGGAAGTCCAGAAGTCCGAGTCCAGCTTCTCGATGACATCTACTGGACCCTTCTCGAATTCGAATCCGGATTCCAACTCTATGTGCTCCCGATCGAAGTAATCCTCACTGTGAACTTGTGGGCTCTGCGTGAAGTCAACCCATTGAGGAGCATTCCAGTTATCCATTTTGTATTCCTTCACAATCCAGACAACACAATTGAAATTCTCTCCAAACCAAGCCAGCAAATAGAAACAATACCGTAAAACATTAATTATTTAATCTAACATCATATTAGCTCTGTTTTATTCATTATTTGATTAAATCAGGTTAATTCTCCTTTATCCCATAACTATGATATTTATAACGGAATAATATTTGGATAGTAATTATTCACTTTCAGCACACATTTAAACACCTTCCCCAAAATGGTTACTCCAAAATAATTAAAACTGTTCCGAAAGTGACTTGACAATCTCGATACCCATAATTACGCAAAGGGTTTTGTAAACTAATAAACGCAAATGCCTTTCTTTCATCCTCTGGTGGTATCACGTCCACAAAAAAGGCATTTGTGTCCAGGGGCTCGATTCTTGAATTTGGACAGATTTTGTCGCATACGAATAGATTTGCACGAAAAACTTTGCATCGTTGCAAAGTCGCGTCATTGGTCAACATTTGAAAGTCGTATACGAAACTGTCAATTTTGCGAAAGTTAATCGTATGAACTTGAGAATTGTTTTCCATGGTATAGACATAACACATGGAAAGGGTTTAAAAAAAAATAAAAATAAAACAAAAAGCTCCAAGAAGGCACACTCGACTCCACTTGATTTCTCTCAATGATTTCAATTATCTCAAAATCTAAAGAATCATGCAACAAATAATTAACAACCTACGACCGTTACGAACCTGATAAATTGATTTCCACGCTAAATCATTTGCAGGAGACTTTCAAACGTAGAGTCCAATCATCGGCGATATGACGTAGCGTGTCGATAATAACCAAAACTGCTCGTTAACTCGACACACCGTGTCTGTAAATTGTTCCAAAATGCGTAATACCAGCCTCAGTTTGTCCGTAAGCTCGCGAAAATCCAGCACGATCGCTCTCAGAGGGTGCAAAAGTTTCGAGGAACGAGAGGAGATACCAACGGGCATGCAACGGATGGCGAGTACACTTCGTATTTGAATTTATCGCGTCGGCGATTGGCCGCACGGTTGATTGGTTGAAATACGGCAGGTAGTTAAACCTTCTAACGTGAATGTTCCTAGATAACGGTCATAGACTGTATTAGAGAAGATGGGATCAGAACTAACGTGACGGGACATGGCCGGTCCAGAAACATAACCTTCGATTGGGGTTCTACTTTACCGTAGCGAGCATTTTGCAACTCATATTTGTTGATTCGCTGTAACAGAATAACTATGACACCATTGGAACATGTTATTGCGTTAAAAAACACTAATATCGAGTAAATAATACCGAATATTTGGCATAAAATTATATACTTAGTTCCCCTTGAAGTAGGAGAGGGCAACTAGGGATCTTTGTGGATGGAATTGGATTTAGTTCTAGAAATTTCTGGCAGAGGTCGCTAGAAATGTGGTAGTGTATAAATACTTACGAGAGGTAATTTTTTAATTCGCATATTTCGCGATTTGTTATTGCAACAATGGCGGTTCCGTCTGCGTCGTTGTCAACAAGAAACAAGAAGCACTTTTTAGGCGTGCCAGCGCCGCTAGGTTATGTAGCTGGTGTTGGCAGAGGGTAAATATGCTTATAATCTTATTTAGTAACTATCTTGTTGAATAAAGGATTAAAATTTGGCGAGTTTTTTAGGTATTCAATGTTCTAACCTCACTTTTCGCTTTTGTATTTAGGGCGACTGGCTTTACAACTCGTTCTGATATCGGACCAGCAAGAGATGCAAATGACGTTTCGTAAGTAAAAATCCTATAATAACTTGATAATTAAATTAATAGACCATACAGCTGTATTACTGCATTTGTATTTATCTTGATTTAATGCGACTTCTGTATCCTTGCAGAGACGACAGACATGCTCCTCCGACTAAGCGAGTTAAAAAGAAGGAGGAAGAGGAGGAGGACGAGGAAGATCTTAATGATTCCAACTATGATGAGTTTTCTGGCTATGGTGGATCCCTTTTTAGCAAGGTAAGTATTTGTATTCCATCTACTAAGGTGTTATATAAGTTTGTGTGCAGTTTTTATTCCAGCTGAGTATTTTTGATCCAATTCCACGTACATTTGCTGAAGTTGTGCAGAATGCAATTTGGTGTAAATGATGGTTGGAAGCAATTCAAATTTCCTTCTCGGTGACCTAAGAATTTATTTGTGAGGCTCGTGTTCCCATTGTTGCATATTTTGAACGACTTCTGTGCTATACAAGTTGCTATGCTTAATTAAGGAATTACAAAAAGGAACTACAGAACACATACATTTATGGGACACCCTAATATAACTGCATTACAAGATTCTTAATACTAGGTTTATGGGCATTTGTTATATACCATTCTTTTTTAACATCTATCAAATGGATGATTGAACAAAGATCCACATTTTCATTAAAAAGAAAATATTGATTTATCTAATTTATAAATAACTTAATTATACACAATTAACTTATACATTTAGTTATATGATATATAGATACATAGTAATTTTAATATTAACAGGTAACTAGAAAAAGAATAGTAGGTTTCTGTAATATTCTTTGTGAAATCTGAAACCCGTTTAATTGATGAGCCCTGTAAATCTATTATTAACAAAGGGCAATCGGGGAGATGTCATACAAAGTTGCTACACAAAGCCTTTCTTGCCTAATTAATACTATTATGATCATTTTCTAGGACCCTTATGACAAGGACGACGAAGAAGCAGATGCAATCTACGAGGCCATTGACAAGCGAATGGACGAAAAGCGCAAAGAGTATCGGGAAAAACGTCTCAGGGAGGAATTGGAGCGTTACCGTCAAGAACGACCAAAGATTCAACAGCAGTTTTCTGACTTGAAAAGAGAGTTAGTGAACGTCACTGAAGACGATTGGAAGAACGTCCCGGAAGTTGGAGATGCAAGGAATCGTAAGCAGAGGAATCCAAGAGCTGAGAAGTTCACGCCATTGCCTGATTCCGTGCTTGCGAGGAACCTGGGAGGGGAGACTGCGTCAAGTATTGATCCTACCAGTGGCTTGGCTTCGATGATGCCAGGAGTAGCCACACCGGGAATGCTGACCCCGACAGGGGATCTAGATTTGAGGAAGATTGGACAGGCCAGGAATACTCTGATGAACGTCAAGCTCAACCAGGTCTCCGATTCGGTGGAGGGGCAGACCGTGGTCGATCCAAAAGGTTATCTCACCGATCTGCAGAGTATGATTCCTACATACGGTGGAGACATCAAGTAAGTGTTCCAGTATTTACTTAAGGGGATAAAATTCAGAGGTGGTAAATTATCGTACATTTATCATATAAAGTACTGAATGCAAAATTATCATTTGCTGATAATTATCGTCCAAAAGGTATCGTTTATTGTACTGGAGTAGATGTTGGACCTAACTAGAAATGATCATACTTGTGCGATAATTTTTCTACATCTGTACCCAGATTAACTTTCCAATAAGAAATTTTCAGTATTTTTAAAGTATCCTAAATCTTTCAGCGACATTAAGAAGGCCAGATTGCTTCTGAAGTCCGTGAGAGAGACGAACCCTAACCATCCTCCTGCATGGATCGCCTCTGCTCGTTTAGAGGAAGTCACTGGGAAGGTGCAGGCTGCCAGGAACCTGATAATGAAGGGCTGCGAGGTCAATCCAACTTCCGAAGACCTTTGGCTGGAGGCTGCGAGACTTCAACCACCGGAGACTGCCAGAGCGGTGATAGCTCAGTCGGTGAGACTAGTGTTTTTAAGCTCTCCTGTATTTAAGTTTAAGCAATATTACCGAGAATGTTACGGTAATTTTAAAATCCCTAAAAACTTTAAGAGAATTTAAAAGAACTCCGAGAATTTGTATTTAAATTAATTTCTAAAAATAATTATTACTTTTAATGAGTAATATTCGTGAAGTCGAGGTCCTTTTTATAAATAGTATCCCTTTAATTTGTGATTCCTCTCTTTCGTGAGATGATTTTCTATCTTCGCAATTTGTGTTGCCCCTCTTATTAATCTCAAGATACAGTAGAAGGTTAGGAGTTTGTAACAATGTTACCGAACGACAATAATTCGACGTTATATGATATTAATGTATCTTTTGAATAATATTCGTTATATATCATATTATTCCAGTGTATTGTGTAACTGTAACGTAATGTGTTTAGTGAGTAGTTTCATAAAATTGTTGAAAATAACTCGAATGTTATTTAAGAAAATGCAATTCTCATAAATTCGCAGATAACTGAATCATCGATTATGTTACTAGGGTAATGTAACGTATTAAAAATTCCAGGTGAGACACATCCCCACTTCCGTCAGGATCTGGATAAAGGCTGCCGACCTAGAGATAGAGCCGAAGGCCAAGAGGAGGGTCTATCGAAAGGCTCTGGAGCACATTCCCAACTCGGTGAGGCTCTGGAAGGCTGCGGTGGAGCTCGAGGAACCCGAAGATGCTCGCATATTATTAAGTCGCGCCGTTGAGTGCTGTCCGACCAGCGTCGATCTGTGGCTCGCCCTTGCCAGGCTCGAGACCTACGACAACGCCAGGAAGGTCCTCAACAAGGCTCGAGAGAACATCCCAACGGATAGGCAGATTTGGACCACGGCTGCCAAACTCGAGGAGGCCAATGGAAACAAACACATGGTGGAGAAGATCATCGACAGAGCCATCTCCTCGTTAAGTGCGAATGGCGTCGAGATTAACAGGGAACATTGGTTCAAAGAGGCCACGGAAGCTGAAAAAGCTGGAGCAGTCCATTGTTGTCAGGTTATCATCAAGGCTATCATCGGGTTTGGGGTCGAAGAAGAAGACAGGAAGCATACTTGGATGGAAGATGCCGAGAGTGTTGGTTTCTTGGAGTTAAAAGTTCATATTAGGTTTACCTTTTAGGGATTAAAGTGAAGTGGAACCCGTCTTAAGAAAGCGAGAAACTCGCATTTGAACGGTATAAAGGCAAAAAAGTGTCTTATGCGTTTCTATGCTATAACGAAGGTAACACGAGGTCTCGGAGAGAACATTTAGTTGCCACTGAAATCACAGATGGCGTAGAGTAGCAGTCTGCAGTCAAAGGGCATCAGAAATCACGAATCCAGGGGATTTCTGGAGTTTTATTTTAATTTCTTTATAACAATTGAACAGTAACGACTTATGGAGTATGTAATTTATTACAATATCCAATTCGAAAAAGCTGTAAATACAAATATGAGCGTCTGTAACGTAGATATTTAGAAGAATCTTTTTCACCGACGTCGATTAAATTTCTCGATGGGTTTCACTTCATCTTAAGTATGGAAATATATTTAAAGATTCAGTTTAACCTAACCTACAAAATCGAGTTGCCTTTTGTCAGAAGTCTTTAACTCTGAATTATATTCTACAGTGTGCGCAGCAAGGAGCACTGGAATGTGCCAGAGCAGTCTATGCTTACGCTTTGACTACGTTTCCGAGTAAAAAGTCGATCTGGCTGCGAGCAGCTTACTTCGAAAAGACTTATGGTACCCGAGAGTCTCTGGAAACCCTTTTGCAAAGGGCAGTGGCTCATTGTCCCAAAAGCGAGGTACTGTGGCTCATGGGAGCCAAATCCAAGTGGCTGGCGGTAAGTCTTTCTCATTTACCTCTCTTGTCTTCAAGAATCGAACCACGAAGTAGTATAAGGAGATACAACGCCATGTATTGAAATCGTCCCCACTTTGGGAGTCCAAGGTCTTCAGATCTTATCCGATCTAGAGCGAAGAGTGCCACATCGATGAAATTTTGCAATTTTAAAAATTATCGTCCGCTAATCATTATCACGTTAAAATCACCACATTCCGTATATCATCCGCGGATTATCGTTTTATTTTGCGTACTTTAATTGCAAAATTAAAAGCATTTTAGGTTATTTACGTCGGTAGAAAATGTTTTAGTGACGTAGGATTGGAGTTCTCTCATTTTCCATCGTTAGATCAGCGAAAATCTGAGATCCTGGATTTCAATTCTGGGGCTACTTTCTGTGGAGCCAACCATTGATATTATGTCTCATACTACTTCAAGAACCGCAACCTTCATTCAGATTTTCTGACTTCGATACAGGGTGACGTACCTGCAGCCAGGGGCATTCTTTCGCTAGCCTTCCAGGCCAATCCCAATTCGGAGGAGATCTGGCTAGCTGCCGTCAAATTGGAGTCTGAGAACTCGGAGTATGAGAGGGCTAGACGATTACTGGCCAAGGCCAGAGCCTCTGCTCCTACTCCTCGGGTCATGATGAAAAGCGCCAAGCTGGAGTGGGCCCTCGATAACCTCACCGCAGCTCTGCATCTTCTGAAGGAGGCCATCGAAGCTTTCGATGACTTCCCCAAATTGTGGCTCATGAAGGGACAGATCGAGGAACAGCAGGAGAACCTGGATAAGGCTCTCGAGACTTACAATCAAGGGGTAAATATTTCATTTACTTCCCCTACTTTCCTTCTCCCGTAAGACTTTGGTATTCTTTTAATTCTTATTAGCTTGTCCAAAAAGTTATTGAGATTTGTTCTAATTAAGATTTGACGCTTTCTTTTCAGATAAAGTCGCTCTTCCTTTATGTCCAAGTTATGTATCATCTTAGAGCGCAGACTTTGATCTCTATATTTTGATAATAATTTCGTTCTAAATATTTTCTTTTTGTTTTCTTTTTCAATGCTCCACTTGCTGCAGGTCATCCAAAACTCGTTTGATTTTAAGGCACTCGTCTCTGTCAGGAAAATTTTGAAACCACAATTGCCCTGTGTTCGTTAGTGGTTCCTGGACAAAATGAATTTTTGACATGACGAGCCACATTCAAATAAATAATGTGAATAAAATAGGAATTAATGTTTAAAATACAATTATTGTTATCAAAATGTAGAGCGAGATTTGCACTTTAATTTGGTATATAACATGGATATAATGGAAGAACTATTTTATTTGAAAACAAAGCGTCAAGTCTTATACAGTAAAACTTTTAGGACAACTTAGATACTATTGAATATTGCTTTTACACACTTTTAAACCGATTGATGATGGTTACGTTGCACTTTAATCACTTCGACAGATCAAGAAGTGTCCTACATCGATACCTCTCTGGCGTTTACTGGCACAGTTGGAGCACCGTAAGGGCCAAGTCACCAAAGCTCGATCCGTTTTGGAGAAGGCTCGTCTGCGTAACCCAAAGAATGCAGAATTATGGCTCGAAGCTGTCAGAAACGAGGTTAAACCTGGAGGTGCCAGGGACATGGCGAACACTTTGATGGCTAAAGCACTACAGGAGTGTCCCACGTCGGGATTACTCTGGGCGGAGGCAATATTTATGGAGGCTCGTCCTCAGAGGAAGACAAAGAGTGTAGATGCCCTCAAAAAATGCGAACATGATCCACATGTGCTCTTAGCTGTTTCGAAGTAAGTACACTTCCTCGCTGTAATTTTTTATATTTCTCATTGAAGAGTTTTATCGACTGCCAATAAGGGTAGTTATAATTTTGCCCAACCCAATTAAAGTAATGTAAGTGAAAGTGATTTTTTTAAACAATCCAGTTCATTGAAAAATCTTGATTAAAATCAGAAGAAGAAGGGTTATTTTGTTTTATTGCTATATATATTGTTTTTTAGAAAAATTCTGATTCCTTAGCCACTCTGCTGCGACCAATTCGATATCTGCTAGTATTTATTCTAACATTTTTCAGGCTTTTCTGGTGCGAAAGGAAGATCTCCAAGTGTAGGGACTGGTTCAACCGTACTGTCAAAATAGATCCTGATCTTGGCGATGCTTGGGCGTATTTTTATAAATTCGAGCTCCTGCATGGCACCGAAGAACAGCAGGAAGATGTCAAGAAACGCTGCGTGGCTGCGGAGCCTCACCATGGGGAGCACTGGTGCAAGGTATCGAAGAATATTGTCAATTGGTGTCTTGGTATCGATCAAATTTTGGTCTTGGTTGCCAAAGACATACCGATACCAATATAGATATTGCGAAAAGCTTGACAACGAACTTGTACATTTTGCTTAATATGTATCGATGAGATAGTATTAAGTACTGAGAGTCTGTGGTGCAGGAGTTTGAGGACACCCTGCATGACTACGCTTGTATATTTAATCTTATGTTAGTTGATAAGATCCTGGAGAGTATATTGCAATCATATAAATGATACGTCGAATAAATGTGCCAGATAATAGCAACACCTTTTAACCTCGTGATATACTGGTGGCCCTCGAAATGAATCAAGCGAGGAGGTCCGCTATCTAGAGTCTTCCCACTATATTCCCTATTCTGCATTCATTGCTACAGAATCATTGCGGAAAGGGATTATACAAATGCAACGTTGTTCTTTTCCTTACTATATTCCCCATTCTGCATACTATAACTCCAGAATCAACTACGCAAAAGGGCTAGATAAACGCAACGTTCTCCTTTTTCCTCTTTAATCAATCTTTCAATAGGTTACAATTCCGATATTCCCTGAGACAGTGGTACCTAGAGTCCTCTTCACTATATCCCCCATTCTGCACTCAATTATTCCATAATCATTGCACAAAGAGGTGACACAAACGCAATAATGTTATTATTCTTCTTAAATCAATGTTTCGGTGGAATACAATTCCGACGATCCCTGAGATAGCGATACCTAGAGTCTTCTTCACTATATTCCCCTTAAAACATTCAATTCCTCGGAAATCACTGCACACAATGGGGACACACTATACAAATGCATCGTCGACCTTTTCCCTCTTAATTAATCATTCTTTCGATAGAATATGTTTCGATAGAATAACTATACAAAAGAGCTATATAAACTCAACGTTGTCCTTTTTCTGTAATCAATCTTCTGATATTTCCTGAGACAGTGATACTTAGAGTCCTCCTCACTATATTCCCCGTTCTGTACTCAATTATTCCAGAATCATTGCACAAAGAGGCGACTCAAACGCAATCAATTTATTATTCTTCTTAAATCAATGGAATACAATTCCGATGATCCCTGAGAGCGATGTACCTAATCTTCCTCGCTATATTCCCCCTTAAACATTTAAGATGAAGTGAAACCCCCCCTCGAATATAACACTTTTTTTTAAGGGTATTAGACCAAACTGTCCAAAACTTTGACACGTCACTCCTGATCATCTAAGAATTGTCCTGACACGTTCAAATTTTGTATTTTTTTTTTAAATTGTTTAACAGCCCACACCAGAACCAAAATGGCGTCGAGCTCTCATATTTCGATCAATTTACAATTATCGAAGACTTTGATATGAGAAACGAGAGGGTCAGGACAATTTTATGACAATTTAGAACACTCTGGTAATCGATAAACTCGCATTTGAACGGGATAAAGGCAAAAAAAGTGTTGTATGCGCTTCTATGCTAAAAGGATGGTAATACGAGGTCTCGGAGTGAAAATTTAATTGACCTGGAAATCACAGATGGCGCAGGGGGTCCCTCTGCAGTCAATTAGGGCCCCAGAAAGCATGAATCCAGAGGATTTCTGGAGTTTTACTTCGATTTCTTTATAATTATTGTACGAAAACGACAGGTGGAGTATACCATTTGGTACAATACCCAATATAATTCGGCCCAGCTGTCGATATAAGAACGAACGTCGGCAACGTAGGCATTTGGAAAAATCTCCTTTATCGACGTCGATCAAGCTCCTCGACGCGTTTCACTTCACCTTAATCCCTCGAAAATCACTGCACACAAAGGGGCTACAGAAACGCAACGTCGTCCATTTCCTTTTTTTAATCAATCTCTTCGATAGAATACAATTTCGATATACTCTAAATTCGAAAACCAGTTTGTCTTTGAACGAGAAAATACATATCAATTCGTACTCTGTATAAATCTCTCACGCTTTCACAAGCACGCCGCATTCCCACCGAGCTAGAAATCCACTTTCTACGTACACCGATAGACGTTAAGACATCGTCGCCTCCCTAAAATTCGGAGGACCTGACTTCGCAACGACACAAATCCCTCGATCGGTTACACCGGGAGGACTAATTCGACCTTAAACGACAACGCGCACTTACTTTTACACATTTATTTATTACTTCCCCTCCCTCATAACGCTAGAGGTCCGAAGAGTGTCTAGTACTTCTAGGGAAGATCCGGGCATACGCGACTGGGGTACAAAAATCCCACCTTCGTTACAAAAAAATTCGATTATCTCCGCCGTTTGCTCAAGGAAAAATAATGCAAAGTTCTTCTTCTTCCTTCGCCACTCGAGGCCGATCGCTCGCCTCTCTAAAATTCCTGGCCATTGTTGGCATTTGGAAACTCGAAAACTAGAGTTGGTCCGGTTCTCTTCGACTTCTAACGGGTGATGGGCTGCTTCTTTTTTTCTTTTTTTTACGTTCTAATTCGTTCGCACTGTATAAATGGAAATGAGAAATGCTTCGGTCGAGCTCCTTACACATCCTGTACACGCCTGGAGAAACTGATATATTTAGATAGTATTTAAATAAATAGCCGACCACGAGAACGGAGTTCCGGTTGTTTGTGTTGTCCATCTATAAATGTCACAAAATTCTGGCGTTTCGTTTCTGGATATTGAGAATCCAATTTCAACGGTTCGCGTAATTAAGATGATATGATAGGCGCTGAGAAATCTAATCGGCGTGGATAAATTAAAATTCATCTATACCCTTTTAGATAATAATGCCATTAAGAAGGGTTATTTTGTTTTATTGCTATATATATTGTTTTNGTAACATAAGCTGGCGCAGTTTGGAGAAAAGTTTCATAAATATTTGTACGTTTTATATACACGGAACAATCCTTTCATATCACCTTAATTAAATTTATCTCGGTTAAATCATTGATTACCTAACCATAGGTTAAAGTTAACGTCTTCGCACTGTATAAATGGAAATGAGAAATGCTTCGGTCGAGCTCCTTACACATCCTGTACACGCCTGGAGAAACTGATATATCGAAAAGACGAGGATCAGAGATGAGCCTGAATGGCTCCGAAAGTACATAAGCATTCGGTAGTATTTAAATAAATAGCCGATCACGAGAACGAAGTTCCGGTTGTTTGTGTTGTCCAACTCTAAATGTCACAAAATTCTGGCGTTTCGTTTCTGGATATTGAGAATCCAATTTCAACAGTTTGCGTAATTAAGATGATATGATAGGCGCTGAGAAATCTAATCGGCGTGGATAAATTAAAATTCATCTGTACCCTTTTTGGTGGTAATGCCATTTTGAATATTCAAGTGGTAACATAAGCTGGCGCAGTTTGGAGAAAAGTTTTATCAATATTTTTACGTTTTATATTCATGGAACAATCCTTTCATATCACCTTAATTAAATTTATCATTTCTAAGCCCTTCGATTTATCTCCTCATTCTACGTTCATACTCACTTTATCTTAATTTCGACTTCGAGGAAACAGAAATGTACAAATTGATATTATATTTACAACCTCCTCACTCTACGTTCAATTCCATTTTACCTTGACATCGACTTCAAGAAACAAAAATGAATCAATCGATCACAAGTACAGCCTGTAAGAAGCTTTGTTACGATACATATACAAAAAAAAATAATAATTTGCCTCAATTAATAAAACGAAACATCTGCACTAAAAAATTAGACCAAACCAAACAAAGATAAGTTAAAAATAAGTGTCTTTTGAAAAAACGAACAGCATGAAAAATCTGAGAATGATGTTTCCAATAAATAGTAAACCAGAGAAATTAGTCTACATAATACGAAAAAGGCTACGTACTTGAATCGATTAACCAATGGTAAGATAAGGAGAAAAGCTCTATTATATAAAAAGTAATCCATTTAGGACACTTCTTAATTAATAAGAAATTGGAATTGAGTATCCAGGATTAAAAAATCCGAATTCCAAAGGGTCCGAGACGTTCGAAGGAACCAAAGATGAAGTTAAGTAAAATATTCAGTGAAAAAGAACAACAGGCAGAAAGAACTCGCGATTTCTTCCTCGTCTTTGCGACAAAGTTTCTTTTCGCTTTGGTCTCGTTCCTCGGCCGGAACTCTCGCAAATTCGGGATAGAAATAGGAAACCAAGAAAGGGCTCGAGCGGTCGTTTTCACTTGGAAATATTGAGATTAGAAATAAAGCCATCACGGCTTACCAAAAGCGAGATTAATTAGTGATAAACTAAAGATAAAGGAAACTTAAGTCAACTTACAATATTACTACGATAAATTAGGAATAGACTCCTAACTTCGAAGCAACTAATTCGCAGTAACGTAATTCGGAACACCAGGAACGAGACTCGGAGACTATTAAGTGATCCTAACCTCGCTTTTCCCTGTAATCTGTACATACTATTAAATAATCCTAAGCTCTATACCCTTGACCTCTTCCGCCTCGATTCAGCAGCGGAGTATTTCAGAATTAAAAGGGAAAAGTTCTAGTCGTACCAAATATCGCTCGCGATACCAACTAAAGGCATTTCACGTATCACTTCGACACTTAACGAACTCCTCGGAGAGAAAAGTCGACCGCTCGTGTCCCGTTTCCGCGAATTAATCCTTTTTCATTCTCTCCCAAAACTGTCATACACGTACACAAAGGACACACGTACACGCATTACGGAGACATTACGCAGACATTACGGAGTGGGGTTAACTTTAAGCCGGAGGGAAACATCATCCCACGACTCGCGTTGGCTCTGGGGAATCCCGTCCTCGAGAGACATCTAGAGGCCATCGACAGAATTGTTGGTAGTGTCACGGATGTTTTACAGTCGGTCCTGGGAACTTCTGGGGAATTTTAGAATATTCCAGGTGAGCCAAATGTGTAGAGGTGCCACTGGCGCCGCTGTTCACAAGTTGCAAATAGATATGACATTGATAGTCGATCCTAGGGACCATTAGGGGTTTCTAAGAAACCCCGACGCCTTCAAATGATGTGTAGACCGTGCTCTGAGAGGTTTTAGGGAATCCCAGTCTACTCAAGCAACTTGTAGACACATTCTGGAGACTTCTGGGAAGTTTCAAGGGATTCCAGGTGATCCAAATGTGCTTGAGTAACGTATATAGGTGTTACAAGTATGATCGTTGATGGCTCCACGGGTAGATGGAACTGCTAATTCATTCTAGGAACCACTAGGGGAATCCAGGGAATCCCAGTCCACTGGAGCAGCTCATAGACGTGCTCTGGAGACGTTTGCGGGGGTCAAGTTGATTCCAAGTGATCCAAATGTGCTCCAGTAACGTGTAGAGGTGTCACTGGCGCAACGGTTGACGGAGTCTCATGCAGATGGCACTGGTAATCCTGAGCATCACTAGGGGATTCTAGGAAGACCCGGCATCCATAAACGATGTAAAATGTGCTCTGGAACGTTTTAGGGAATCTCACTTTTCTTAAAAAGCCTGCAGATATGTTATGAAACTTCTGGGAAGTTTCAAGGGATTCCAAGTGATCCAAAAGTACTCGAGCAATGCGTAGATGCGCCACTGGTGCAATTGTTGATGGAGCCACCGGTAGAGGGCACAGTTAGTTCATCCTGGGGACCACTAGGGGATTCCAAGAAATCCCAGTCTACTCGAGCAGCTTATAGTCACATTTTGGAGACTTATAGGGAATTTTGTCGAATTCCAATGTACCCGAGCTACGTGTTGGGGTGCTATCAGTGCGGTTGTTGGTGGTCTCCCTGGTAGATGGTGCTGACTGAATTCACACTGGCGTAGGAGGTGGTTGGACACTGATTGGGATGATTCTCGAGAAGCGGGGATGAAGGGTCGTCGGGTTGGACAACCTGAAACTTGTCCCCGGAGCCCTGGGCGTGGATTCGGGTACGTAGGTACCCTCGGCTGGACATCACGCCTGGAAAGATTAATGGAAACGATTGCTTCATTATTTTCTCTGAATTTACTCCTCTTCGCTTATTTGGTGTTGACGTAAGAGTTGTTAAGTTTTCTTATGACTTGAAAATTATTATCTTAACCATCAACTGGCAAGCTTTCTTGTTGTTTGTGTACCCTTATAACAACAACAGAAGAGTTAAGCAATTAATGCCCGGTTCCACCAATCTTGGTTAAATCATTGATTACCTAACCATAGGTTAAAGTTAACGTCTATGTTAATCGTGGGTTTAAAATGTAAATGTTCCACCACATTTATTTAGAGCGCGAGTAACTAATCGTATACACCATTCTAAGTAAGTCGAATTGTTGGTAAACGCTACATACTCAATATAATCCATTTTTTTCTCGCATTTGTACAGTTTTTAGGTTCAAGTTCGATTAACTGAGGCTAAACGATCGAATTTGGCTGGTTAATCTGAATGGCGGTTAATGGAAATTAATCCGCCGTTAAAATGTGGGTAAACGTACAACTAGTAATCGAAAATTAACTTTTTGACCGAAGTCAGTGGAATCAGGCATAATTCTAGTTTTCTTTTTTTAAGACGGTAAGAGGTACAATCAGTACAATGAATCATTGATTGTAACAATTGGACTCCGCGTTACTGTCAATGTTGCATATGAGTCTTATAATTGATAGGTTCCTTGTTTTGTATAACTTTGTAACTAGTCTAGAAAAATCAAGCATTTAATTCAAGGTTTCTCCTCGTAAGACAGTACAAGGGGTGAGAAATTATGGATAGTAAGAATTGGACTTTACATTACTGTCATTGTAACACAGGTACATCTTACCAGTTGAGGATTAAGCTCGAAGAAGTGTCAAGATGAGTGGAACGGAGGGGATTTCAAAGTTCGTGCTGGTATGCAGAGTTAAGAGACGGACAAACTCAAGATTAGAAAACAGCGTCACTAAACTAATGAGCTATGGAAGGATTATAGTTTAGTTTATGGCTGTGTGAATATTTCAAGACAGGCTCAGAGTTGGCAGGTAAAGTGAAAAGCGCCGACATAACCAAAAAAAGCGCAAGGAAGCTGAACTTAATAAATTTGTACCGGCCTTTCGCAGGATCCTTCAGATCTTATCGATCGTGTCCACGCTAACGAACCACAAGAGAACAGACATGAAACACCAAGAAAAAAAGAGAAAAGAAACCGCAGGGAATTAGCAGCGTCGAGTCTTCCGTCATTTCACATTCAAGTTTGCCAGATCACGGAATAAACTGCAAAGTATCGATGACTTTTCAAGCAAATTGCATATCTCTTCTGACTGTCTCATGCAAAAGGTAGCTCCAAGTGTTCGCGATCTCAATCACACCCTCCTGGAATAATTTTGTTTTGTAACATAAGATAATTACGTAACGGTTGCATTACGATTCTACATTTTGGAAATGTTAATTTACTTTTCAAACAGATTCCTTGGAGGAAGAGCCCTAGAGGAATTTTAGAAAAATATTCCCAAGAAAGCCATCGAGTCTATTTGATTTCACAAGCAGTGTTACCGTTGGTCTGTTAATCGAATTTGATAAGTGCATCGGAGGAGAGTTACTGGCATCACAGATGGTTGTATCGATACTTGAATCGGTCTCATCGGACCATTTCATTACCTCCTAAGATTTTATCAGGTCCTATCTGTCTTGTTCGAGCACTCGGAAGGTGGGTGTGGTTGCGTTGGGTGTGGAAGGAGAATTAGGTTTGCTTACACGATGATTCAGGGAGGTTTCCTGTATGCCATCCAGGGTGCCCCGCATCGCTCTCTTGTGGTTAGCCAGCTTCTCTCGGTTCATGGGCGAACCTAGAACCATTGGTACCGATAACGAGGATCCAGGACATGTGTCAAAACTGCCAATTGTACTAATTCCGCCAATTGTAAACTTCGTGCGTTTCCACTGCTTAGCCACCCTAGATCGTTATTCCTGTCACCTAGTTTCTTGACCACATAATTTGAGGTACAGGTTAGAATTATCAAAACCTGCCACAGAGTTTAGGTTAGGCCATGCCGGAAGTTAAAGTTCAAGGGAAATATGAACGCTGCGATCAATTGTAAATTAGCGTAGTTTTCAAAGCACCTTATGCAATAATTATCATGATTTAACTCTTTCGTTATAGTATATTCACGAAGTAGTATAAAAAGAGACAACCCCATATATTGAAACCGTCCCCGTTTTAGGGGTCCAAGATCTTCAGATTTTTCCGATTAGTGCTGAGTACCTTCTCAATGAAATTTTGAAAATAAAAATTATCGTCTACTGCTAGTCTTTATCACATTAAAAACATCACATTCTGTATCTCATTCGCGGATTATTGTATCACTTCGCGTACCTTAATTGCAAAATTAAAAGTATTTTAGATCATTTACGTCGGTAAGAAATGTTTTGGTCATGTAGGATTGGAGTTCCCTCATTTTCCACAAGTAGCGCTCGCATCGTTATATCAGCGAAAATCTGAGATCCTGGGTCCCGATTCTGGGGCCAGTTTCTGTGAAACCAACTTAGTAATCTGGTGTTCACATTATACATATCAGTAATTCTTTTATATTCGTTGCTAAGCAATTTCTCTGTTGTTGACAATAATAATTACCTAGCACCTATAGGCGCCAATAATATATTGCGAGCAAATTTTTAAAGCGTCCATAAGCGCCAATAATATATTGCAACAAATTTTAAAAGCGCCTATAGGCGCCAACAGTAATTAACCGGTTAAAGCATTTCTTAAGATCTCCAAAACTGTTCGCTGAAGAAACGTTTAATCGTATGAGTAGATGTCAAAGTTCTTGAAGAACTGCAAGACAATGGGATTAAAAAAACAGTCAATCCAAAAGTGCATGCTGATAATGGAAATGTATAGGTACAATGCACTGAACAAATTGTAAACAAATATCACTGATTCAGGCATGAAGAGATTCAAAATCTAGAGGAAACAAGAAACGGTGCAGTGAAATCGGACCACGAGTCAATGAAAGATTTAGAAATTTAGATTTAGAAGAAATTAATGGTTCTGTATAACAGTGTCATAAGCGTTGAACAAATAACGACGCAGGCCACGTTGGACCGCCATGATAGATTCGTGGACAGCCAGTAAGGATTTTTACTAATTATTTACATCTTTTCTGACAAATAATTTGAAAACCTGGCTCCGCAGGCAAAAATTATCTTTGTCCGGAAGGCCGTCATTTTGTCCATTAAAGTTATTCAAAGTTCATCCTGTGTAAACATTTTTAGATGCGAAGTTTCCCCGCTTCCAGATCTCAAAAACTCACATGGAGAAAATGACGTACCATTCCTCCTTAATCGAGCACTATAAGTTGGCGCTATGGTAATGATTAGAGTTTCACACAGATATTCGTTAAATGATCCGAAGGTTGTGAGGACCCTTACCGATATAGCTGAGCAGTACAGGCAGGAATATCAAACCGTGTGCAGCACCGAACAACACGATACCTAGGTACATCCTGAAGTAGAATACCTGAAAGAAAAGGAGATTATGGTAACCTTCGTCAACCAGGGATTGGTATTCCTGCTTATCGGACGATTATTAAGAATGGTACCTTAAAGATTTGGCTTTTTGCAAAGCCAAGGACGATGATCCCACCGAATTTGGTGAGAGTAATACCACTGAATACAGAACTGCCCATGCTGGTGAGGGCATCAGCTGCCCGTTCTATCCTAGTTGCTTCTACCGATACGGAGAAGGAGTGCACCAAGTGGCTACAAAACTCGACAGCAATACCAACAGCCTTAAACAAAGAAACCATGGTTAATAGATAGTTTAATTTAATTAATACGTAACAATTGAAACGGTAATTAACATAATTAAACTTTGTTGTTCTCGGAAGAATGCGTGGTATGGGTTTGTAACATTTATAGATGAAGTTTCTTTCCTTGATACACGTTTAACCCTTCCGTCACTTAGGGCGAGATATCTCACGATCCAACATCCACTATTTAAGGTGATGTGAAAGTAGAGTCAAAGAGAATTCGTTTATGAAACTGTGTACCGAATTGTTTCAAACGTCATGACGCGAGAATGGAGACCATAAGGAAGGTCTTAATGTTCTTGATATTTTAATTTTAAGAAAATTTGTTTCTACATATTTTCAACTCTTTTTTTTAATAAAATATGAAATTTCATGGGTTTCAGGACTTACCTTAGGGCTTCTATATTCATGTGGTAAAATTTGAAACAAATTAGTACACCCGATTCAGGGAATACTTCTACAAACAATTTGGCCTCTCAGATATATACGTAGGTAGACTCTTTCAAATCACCTTAATATCAGAAAATGCACATTAAAACAATTTGGAGTCCTTTCAAATTTAAGAAAAAGCTTTGGAAATAAACTGTGAACTTTAAAAGTTAACGATAATACTAACTTATTTACTATGTTTTAAGTCATCGAAGGGGCTCACCATAACAAGATTTACTAATGAAACGGCGTTGAGAGTGATGTGCCACCAGTACATCAGTCCACCGATATTAACTACAATCATAGTGATCGTGATAACCACCACCAGGGAGGAGAAGATATCCAAGCCCATCAGTAGGAAAGTCACCACGAAGATAGCCAGTAAGGAAATGCCGATGCTTTTCAGGGTATCAGGCCACATCGTTAAGTACTGCTCGTAGAAGACGTAGAAGACACTGTAGGGGAACACCTCGACATCCGACTCCTTTCCTTGAAGCTTAAGGCGATCCCTGATCGTGTCTGTGATGTTCGCTGACACTTTTCTAGCAGCTCTCATGGCTTCGTAGTAGTCCGAAGAGGTTTTCAGGATAGAATGGTAAGCCATGAAGTACGATGCCCCTACCGTGGACCTGCCAGTCTTGTCGTTGGTCATATAGTTCACTCCTTGGCCATAGGCGGCGTGACCAGCCTTGGCGCAGTTCTCATCCGGGTTGTCTTGCAGGAAGTACGACACGTACTTCTCAAAGTCCGTGGAATTGGGACGGTTATTCGGTAAGAGTGAGATTTTACAGCTCGCACAGGAATAGTCTAGAAAATAATTGAAAAGTTTTCAGCTATTAAAACGGATTTTACAAATGGACGTTACAGGAAACGCCGAAGCATTGGGCAGTTCACTGACCTATCCTCAAAAGTTATTGAGGAACAAAGGTGACGGCATGAAGTAACGTAAGGAGCTCCCACTCTATTAAGGAACTCCGTAGAGTTTCGCGCCAAATACATGTATGATCGATTAAACAGTTAACTACGTTTGGCGAGTATACACGTAAAACCAAAACATTATTTCGGTAAATTCCGCAGTTAACTAGTTATGAACGTAGCGTTATAAGCGCAGGGTATGGGTCTTTCTGGAAAATTCTGACCCCATGTTTTATTATTTCTTCAAGTCAGCCAACGGTAACACTAATGATCCTTGCGGGAAAATTGGTGTAATTATATTTGTAATATGTAAATATTTGTAAAATGTTAAGTAATAAGTGTATTGGTGGCTAATAAATGTTCTGTGAGACTCTGTTAGTATTTTTTAGACGGTATTATGACTATTTATGAGAATTCTAGTGTCGCATTTTCCCGCAAGAGTCGCTAGTATTACTATCGGTCAATTTGGCAAAGAAATATAGGGTTACATTTATATGTAAGTGGAAGCGCCTCATGCTACTTTATGGGTGACGGTGAGTTCATTTTGTAAAGGTTTAAGGTTGTAAGTGTTTTTTACTTTAATGGAGCTGCTTAATGCCGTTCATGTGCTTTTATTCAAGGCTCGAAGTGAGATAGTATTGTCGTAATTACCAGTATGCGGACAGAAGGTGTTGTTCCCTGGGAAATATTTACAACAGTTGGGAGAGCCTGACCAGTCAAAGTAATCGTCCAGCCAGGAGGAGGCAGGCTTTGCAATGTAACTCCTAATGAGCAGAATAATTATATAGAAAATATTTTTAATAATATAACACGGTCCTTACAATTATTTTATAATTACCTATCCGGTTGCTGGGCTGCGATGAATACTTGTGTCGACAGGGACTCGAGGTCACAATATTGCCCTCCGCAGATTACATTCTGCGTCTTCGTGTCAGAATAATTCAGACCCTCCGTAACGACAAAATACATAGGAGGTCCGATGGACAGATAGTTATTCAGGAACTGTAACGAGCAAAAATTCATAATTAATATCCTTTGAAACTGAAAACGGTGTTAAATCAAATGAAAAGTTTCCTCGACTTCTCCAAGAGTTAGACCCAGTGTACTAAATTACAGTTCCATTTTCCATAACTTTAAAAATAATTCATCAATAGAATGCGATTAGTTGGAGCATTCTTTAATTTCATGTTTTTTAAGGCTCTCACCTTGAAGTATTTCAGTACAAAGCTGTCCTCAGGCATGGACAGTTCTTGATCAAGGCCGATTTCTATGTGAGGAACCACTGCGATGCTGGTGCAGAGCCAGCCGAAGAAGACTACCATCACACTGGCCCGAACCCACTTGTGCATCAGCATCGGAACATAGGCAACCTTGAAGATCTTGTAGAGGATCCCGTCGACTATCTCTTCGCCATTGTCTTTCTTCGAGCTCCTCATGAAACAGCAGACGTCCAGGCGGTTGTTCTACCAAGCAGGAATAGAAACGAGATCACAAACTTGTCTACACTTTTTAACGAGCAGAAAAGATCTTTCTTGAGCAGAAGGAAATTAAAATCAAATCTAGTCTCGCAACCAAAAAAAAAGAATTAATGGTAATGAAAAGTTAAGGAAGAGGGACGGCGATCTTACGGTGTATGAAAGTGTCATTACACATATATCGACGTCGGTAAAGTAAAATTTATCTATATACCTTTCGGTTGTAATGACATTCTTATAACAACTTAATTATGACTAAATGAAAGACTTACAGCTTGTCGGAAGGTGTCCAAGGATAATAAACTGACGAAGCAGGTGATCTGCAGGAGGAAGTCCACCAAAAGAGCCATTCCGGCGTACAAGGCGAAGGCTTTTACGGCGGGCATGTCCGAAAGGCCACCTGGAAGATGAAGTCCCTCTTATTAGATTGTTTCTTAATTCTCAGTAAATAATCTTACGTAGCTCTCAGATAATACACGTATACAGCATCGCTCACATAGATTAGGAAACTGCAAGATCCCGACATTTCATACAGAACGAACCGGTGAGAGAAATTCTTTACTAGTCACGAAGACTTAATAAAGTAGTACATAAACTAATTAACAAATCACTGAATAAATTTAAAAATTGTAAAATGTGTCATCACTGTACTCAATAGTTAAAAGGCACGGTTCAAAACTATATGAGCGGTACTGTATATACATGTACATAATACAGGTATATGACGTTATCACTTCTATTTTGAAAAATTAATATTTTCTAACAATAATGTTTCGTGTTATAATCAGATGTCAAAAAAGAGTCTGTTGTTTATATTTAAGATGATATAAATAAATAATGTAGCACGTACGCAGTACCGCTCACACATTTTGCTACACTCCATGAAATTTAAAAACTCGTAAAGTACGAATCGGTGAAAGGAATAATTATCGTAGAAAACTGGAAGGCTTAGTATAAGCTAGTGTATAAGCTAATAAATACGTTACTAAATATAATAAATACTAAATAAGTATTTAAATAATTAAATGTGTTATAGCCCCCTTGAACAGTCAAGAGATACAGTCCCAAAATACATGAGCGGCAATGTATACATAAAGTCAACATCTTCCCACTTAGGAAAGAAATCCACCAAATCTAAAAAACGTTCATCTTACAATCTTCAATCTCTACCCTCTTCAAAGTCAACCAAGGGGAAAACAATCTACTACCAAGGGAAGGGCATTCCTAGTTTTTAATCACCAGCTGGGGAAGAAGCAGTCACCACTCAAAAACCTCGAAGTAGTATAAGGAGATTCAACGCCATGTATTGAAATCGTCCCCATTTTAGGGGTGCAAGATCTTCAGATTTTTTCCGACCTAGTGTCGAGAGCGCTTCCTCGATATAATGTTGCAATACAAAATTAAATGTTTGCTAGCATGTCTGCTAGTTTTTATCACATTAAAAACATTATATTCTGTACATCATGCGCGTATTATCGTATCACTTCGCGTACCTAAATTGCAAAATGAAGAGAATTTTAGGTAGTATACATAGATAGGAAATGTTTTAGTCGCGAAGTTCTCTCATTCTCCGCAAGTAGCGCTCGCATCGTTACATCAGCGAAAATTTGAGATCCTGAGTTCCGATTCTAGGGGCCCTTTCTTTGTAATCAGTGTTACCAACCGTTCTATAATTATAATATTTGTACTATTGTTCTATCCAGTGTACTATCCATGTTTCCAATAATAATAGTACGTGAATTATACTATTATTTCAGAAGAAATCTTATCATGATCAACGAAAGTGACAATTTGATTGGCAGTTTGCGATTGCTACGCGTGAACAGCGGACCAATAGACGGCGAGCAATTAAAACTATTCATACTTATCAGAAATGACGGTCTGTTCTCATTAGTTCCCGGTTTTGACAACACGCGACTAATTGCAGCGCCGCTGCATTAAATTACATTCCCTTCCCTCCTTTTTCTTTATTAGTACGGGCGAATGTTTTATGAAAATATTCCAAGTTTTTAAGTTGTACTATAATTTTCTTAATAGGACCGGATTATAGTTTAACTTTAGCACTAGAATTCACGGGCTCGGAGTTGGTAACACTGTGTGGAACCGACCATAAGCGTTAGATCTCCTTATACACCAAAAACGTTCACAAGGATCTTTATCGATATTAATAACTGTCCTATATGTTAATTTTCAATTAATCGGCATGTCATCCGTTAATTCGTAACTAATATGTCGGTTAATTTCCAGCACACAGGGAGCAGTGACTCGCAATTGCGAGCACTCTTTCAATGGGAATATGGGAATCCCTGTCTCTCTCATAAGGGGGTGAGAGTTCCTGATGTGAAACACCAACCCAGGAAGAAACAGCAACTCTCGGATACGCTCGTGAGGAGCATGCTGGGTCCGACCTGGCCCAAGGTGCGTCCGATGTGCTCAGGAATGGACTCGTTCGGCCTGCGACCTTCCCTCTGATGAGTCTGCACGAGGATGAAGACGTTGTCCACCCCGACGGCGAGCACGAGGAAGGGGATGACCTCGATGATGATCAGGGTGGCGGGCAGTCCGATGAACCCGAAGAAGCCCACCGAGCAGACGACCGAGGCCAGGACTATCAGGACACCCCCGAGACCCAGGGTGATCTTCGAGTCGATCTGCGAATAGAAAATGAATGGTAAACAAATGCCCACGCTTTTAAGGTGATACAAAAGGCGCTGAGAAATTTAATCGACGTTCATAAAATAAAATTCATCTATACCTTTTTTGATGGTAATGCCATTTTGAATACTCAAGTGGTAACATAAGTAACGTTACCAACATTTATATTTACTTTGACGTCCGTTACCCTCTTCGTTAAGAATTATACGAAATGAAGCGTTCCATATGTCATTTCGGTGGAATAATTATAAAACGATCGAAGTAAAACTATCAAAATCCCGTGTATTCATGATCTTTGATACTCTACGGACCAACGTCGCCATCTGTGACGTTAACCTCCAACTAAATTTTTGCTCCATAACACGTGTTAATTGTTATGTTAATAGTACCCACGGAACAAGCCAGCATTTTCTTGCATTCGTTCGTGAAAGTATTTCCCATATTCTCCGATCTGACTCTGTAATATTCAATTTCTATAGTGTTCTAAATTATTTGATCTAGGTCCTGAAACTCTTCATTTTCGATTCTACGCCTCCAAGAAGCGTAAAACATCAAAAACGTGCACGGACCACGCCGTTCTGATCTGGTTGGTTCTAGTCCATGATAAATAAATAAACTTTTATATAAAAAATGAAATTTCACGAGTTCTAGGATCTACCTTAGGGCCTCCATATTCACGTGGTAAAATTTGAAACTAATCGGTATACCCAATTAGTAGAATACTTTCACGAACGATCTGACCTTTCAGATATATAACTGCTGATTGTTTCATATCCTTTTAAGACTTTTTTTTATTAACTCTTACCAGAAGCCGACTGCAGGTGCGGATCTGACCGAGGGACACGGCGATGTAGGCGAACATGATGATGTAGGACACGAGGATCGTCAGGATGTCGGACTGAGATTCTCGGTCCAGTTCGTCCTCGATGGATCGCTCCGAGGTGAAGGCCACGTCCATGTAAGCCGGCTTCTTCGTCGCGGTCCAATTCTTCATGAACCCGACGAATCTGGGCAATTAAAAAGTATTCTTTTAAATAATCCACCGAGGTGATTTCCTCTCCCTCTGCCTAAATTCTAAATACACCGTTAAAAAAATCTCGAAATATAGTATACAACTGTATTCGGGATTTTCGAATAGCGTAGGAATTTCAATGTGCACGTACAATACTAAATTTCGAAATCCTTCTTATACCACCTTTCGACTCGACGCGCTCGAAGACATATATATGTGCCCATAATTATGAAAGTGGTCTAAGTCAACATTAAAAAAAAATGAGTTTATCAGTTATTTCACGCCATATTATATCAAACGAAATTAATTTAATGTAGTTTCGAAACAAAAAATATATGACCTCGACCACTTTCATAATTATGGGCACATATATTGGTGAACGACTGTCACTAGACGTGTATACGAAAACCGTGATACTTTTATATACTGAATTTCGATTACATACACATATACCCACCAAACACGATTACGTAACAATAATATAACTATTACATAACGTTTGTAATATGTAATGTAACATACATTTAATATATAAGTAAGAGTTGTACTATTTCCTACGTAGCTATGTAACACTGTTATAAAACGAACAATGTAACGTAAACATAACATATCGGTAACATGTTATATGTTATGTTCATATTGTATAACTGCAATGCTAACAAGTTTGTAACAATGTTATCGGACGATAATAACTCGACATTATATGATATTAATGTCTATTTTAAATAACATTCGTTATATATCATGTTATTCCAGTGTTATGTAACTGTAACATAGTGTGCTTGGTGGGTACAGTCGTACAATTGCGGACATGAATGCCTCCTCTGCAGATACGGCATCGCCTGTGCAGGATGGGAGGGCATTGATGTCTCCCAGTGTACAATGGCGGACATAAATGCCTCCCCTGCAGATACGGCATCGCCTGTGCAGGATGGGAGGGCATTGATGTCTCCCAGTGTACATATTTTGAGAAAAGCGCATCCTAGGACGTTCATTAACATTTCTGCTGATTTATTCTTTGACCTTCCGGTTTTTGTTCAAAATTTGGAACACCTTTATTCGAATTCTCACCTAGAAATAGTGTTCTTTCAGATGATACGTACACTTATCGGTTTTCATTTCGAGGGCCTTTGTTTTTGGCTTTATTGGGTTGATGCATAAGTAATGGCGTTTCTAACACGTAACGTAACGTGTAAAAAAACGCTATTACTTCTGCATCAACCCAATAGTACACATTCGTATTTGAAAGTGTTCGAAATCTCGCAGGATTTTTAAATGTGGAACTTGGCACTGGCATATTTCATTTACGTCTGTTTGCAGAACCCCTTAATGTCTCTGGCGGTATTATCGAAGCGTAAAACACGGAGCCAGATTCAAGGCCTATAAGTGAATTATCGTAAACGAATATCAAATTACTTCTTCTCCCATTCCATGGCCGGCTGTAGCTTGGTCTTGTTGTGGTAATTATTGACAAGGAAGGTGAGAATTAGCGCGGTGGCTTTCTCGTATTCCGGATTCGCTAAAGTCTGGCCTGGTTTTAGGAATCCACCGACTGCTATCGCGGGATCCACGGGACCTCCATAAGTTGCCAGACATTCGGGATTGTATGGGTTCCTGGAAAAGTAAAAAGTCAATCTTAATCCAAGGACAAAGAATCGATCTCGAAGCAAGAGCAAAGAGTCAAGTCAATCCTACGTTCCGCTACACCCAGAAAAAAAAGATTTCCTTCGTTAACAAAATCGTTTGCTTGACGGCATTTGGCTAATCTCGGATAACTTATCGGTTGAGCTAATCGAATTTAAATAAAAGAAATAATTTCGCGCGATATTTAAAACTTCTCTTTACGTATGTATTATATAATATAGTCAGTTCACTTTACGTATGTATTATATAATATAATATACGTACGTATACGTATGCGTGTGGCAGGGGACTAAAGATTTTCGCTTACCATGAGTCGCAAGGAAGGTTACTTTTACCCGTTTGTTAATTCCCAAAAAGCATCCAAAATCACGTATACTTTACGTATGTATTATATACGTATACGTATGGCAGGGTGAGGACCCTTCAAATAGCCTTTTTATTGTGACGCCCCTGGTGAGAAATCAGCGAAACTCTAGACTCGAAGCTTAGCAGATGTGTTTCGCAACTGTTGCGACTAATGTTAACATTACATAATATTATATATTAAATTACAAATATTAGGTCCTCGAGACATAACATAGCGGATGGACCGCCACTTACTGTGAGCACAGCATGAACTGGTCCAGGTAATTGATGACGTATCCGTCCTCGACGTCGGTATCGGTTTCTAGGGCATCGTCGGCGGATCTCTCGACACTCGTCTCGTTGAATCGCTCGACGCTGTCCTGCCAATATCCCCAAATACTCTGGACGACGCATTGCGAGACGGTGCGTTCTCCTGTGAAGGGACTCGTCATGGGAGCGAAGCAGATGTCGGCCAGGGACTCGTTGTTGGGCGTCCTCAGCTTCTTTATCTCCTGCTCCAGCTCGTGGATCGTCAGCAAGAACTCTTTGTTGAAAACGGGCCCGAACGTTATCAGGCCGTTTGACGTGTTGTGCGCGATCTGCGAGCATAAACAAAAATTCCTTTCTATCGTCCCTATTTTTAAGTCACGCCAACGTTGCGAATAAACGCGGATTAATTGTAATCGGTGTTTCTCCAAATCACTGGAAATGTATGTATCGTTATATATCTTTACTCTGCGGAGTTGCGACATGTCGATGCAGGATTTCATCGTTCGGGCAGTTTTTATGGTGCAGTTCGATTAACTGAAGCTAAACGATCGAATTTGGCTGGTTAATCTAAACAGCGGTTAATGGGATTAACCCGCCGTTAAAATGTGGCGGAACGTGCAACTCGTAACCGAGGATTAGCATTTTATAAATATTTTTACAAGCGTACTTCGGTCACTATGAAATTGTAAATAAAATCGAAAACGTCTTCATCCGTATCGTCACAAGATGTTAATACACGTTCAATTTAATTTGTTTCCCGCGCGTTTGTGAAGTTTTTAGTTTGAAGTCCGATTAACTGAAGTTAAACGATCGTATATGGCTGGTTAATGTAAACGGCGGTTAATGGGATTAACCCGCCGTTAAAATGTTGCGGAACGTGCAACTCGTTGTAACCTAGGATTAACATTTTATAAAATATTTACAAGCGTACTTCGATCCTTACAAAATTGTAAACAAAATCAAAAACGTCTTGATCCGTATCGTCATAAGATGTTAATACACGCTCAATATATGTTTTCTTCGCGTCTGTGCAGTTTTTAGTTTGAAGTTCGATTAACTGAAGTTAAACGATCGTATTTGGCTGGTTAATGTAATCGGCTGTTAATGGGATTAACCCGCCGTTAAAACGTTGCAGAACGTGCAACTCGTTGTAACCTAGGATTAGATGTTAATACACGCTCAATTTAATTTATGTTTTCCTCGCGTTTGTGCAGTTTTTAGTTTCAAGTTCGATTAACTGAACCTAAACGATAGTATTTGGCTGGTTAATGCAATTGGTGGTTAATAGGATTAATCCGCCGTTGAAACGTTGCGGAACGTGCAACTCGTTGTAACCTAGGATTAACATTTTATAAAATATTTACAAGCGTACTTCGATCCTTACAAAATTGTAAACAAAATCAAAAACGTCTTGATCTCTATCGTCATAAGATGTTAATACACGCTCAATTTATGTTTTCTTCGCGTTTGTGCAGTGTTTAGTTTGAAGTTTGATTAACTGAAGCGACGCGATCGTATTTGGCTGGTTAATATAATCGGCGGTTAATGGGATTAACCCGCCGTTAAAACGTTGCGGAACGTGCAACTCATTGTAACCTAGGATTAGATGTTAATACACGCTCAATTTCATTTATGTTTTTCTCGCGTTTGTGCAGTTTTTAGTTTGAAGTTCGATTAATTGAAGCTAAACGATCGTATTTGGCTGGTTAATATAATCGGCGGTTAGTGGGATTAACCCGTCGTTAAAACGTTGCGGAACGTACAACTCGTAACCGAGGATTAGCTTTTTGACCGAGGTTGGTGGGACCGGGCTTATTTTTTTTTGGCAAGCAGAGTATTGTTCTTGAAAGCAACGACGAGGAAGGTCGAGGAGGTTGTCGCCTTCTTTTTGGTGAAAAATCGATCTTACGTTCGGCAGGCCCACGGCAGTGATGATGATCTGCTCGTTCCTGTAGAAGGGTTCGAAGTGGCTGTCGAAGTAAGTCCTTTCGACCCGAGACCGAGAATTAGGAGCAGCCCACAACTGTACAGGGTCAGTCGTCACGATCATGTATTTGATTCCATGGCCAAGGCCAACAATGACCAAGAAGCCCAGGAAGAGAATCAGCCATGGCCGAGAAGCACAAGCTACAAAGAAATATTTTACATTAATTATTAATTTACAATATTCTATAAATATTTAATAATATATAATAATATTCTACGTCTCAGTGGTTTTTCCTTTACCCAGATAGAAATAAATGATCATCATGATCGATTTATAAACAATGGGATCGATTTATAAACGGTGAGATGCAATGTTTTACTAAAAGGATACGACAATTTAAATTATGAAGCAATATTTATAAGTATATAAACAAGTTTCGAATTTACAGACATTTAATTAGAGATATTGGAGAATACACATACGAGTGTAGTATAAATATAGCTGATTGCATCTGCAGAGTACATCCGCGACACGTTTCACGAATTTGTTACGCTTTCTATTAACAGTGAATTGACTTTCCCAACGAATCCGATACTCCTCGGAGTCCCCCGAGGAAAATCGAGCTCCACCGCGAAATTAATCGCGAAACCTTTCCCGAGCCTTTTCAATAAGGCTCACATTTCGCGGGCAATGTCTCGGGAGAATGAGCTGTACAAAAAATTCATTACAAAATTCCCTTGCTCGTGTTTCGGTAAGGCTCATATTCCCGGAGCTAAGTCGCGGGAAACTGAGCTTTACGGAGATCTGCGAAGTCGACACGCTTAACGATTAATTTTCTTCCCGCATTCTCTAATAATCATTTGACTTTGTAAACGTAGATAACGTAGATAGGTGAACATAGACTGTCAGTAAAAAATCGAAATTCCATTTCACCCGTTCCCCAGGTGGGGAACTCTAGACCCATAAGGCTCATATTCCCGAAGCTTCGTCGCGGGAAACTGAGCTTTACGGAGATCTGTGAAGTCGACATGCTTAACGATTAATTTTTTTCCGCATCTTCTAACAATCATTCGACTTTGTAAACGTAGATAACGTAGATAAGTGAACATAGACGGCCGGAAAAAATTTGAAATTCTATTTCACCTGTTCCCCAGGCGCGGAAAAACTCCTCCAGGACTTTGTCCGTGTTCGCTCCGAGTCTCTCGATAAATGTCGACCTGTCTTCTTCGATGCCATCGGGTAAATCATCTGCCGATACGACGCCTGTAAATTGATTGTCATTGATTAATCACGAAGTAAAATGTCAGTTAGGACCCGAAGCACAACCTCGAACTCTGCACGTCTACGGTATAAGTGCACGCAAAGCGAGTAATCTACTCTCTACAAGAGATAAGCTCCGCGATTACGGGAATGGTAGAGTGTACAAGGTGCACTGGAATAATTACAAAAAATAAGTACAACGAAGAAAATAGAGATCCCTGGTTGATACATGGAGTCTCCCTCCACGGAGACGAAGATACCGCGGCTCCTTTGATTATTAATATAAATTGACAGATTGATATGCAAAAAATAAAAAAAAATATATATGCACATGTATACACAAAAATATAAATAATGGAGGAAGGACCATGTGAAAGTCATGAACATTAGAATGTGGACGGACAATGATTTTGCCATGATCTTAACAATAGTATTGGATTATTAATGTACGAAATAGAGAACAGTTAAAATCCGTTTACATAAATACATATGCAAATATGAAAAATAGAAAAATAATCCCCGTTAAAATTATAAACAATGCGACGTGGATGGATAAGAGTTACGACATGGTCTTGAATTACTTATATATATAAAAAAAAATAAAAAAATACAGCAAGATTCCTGTAAAAATTACAAACAATGGGATGTGGATGGACAAATGTTTTTTCGTGGTCAAATTCTGGCTCCTCGGAAGGGTCTTGAATTATTCCGGGAAATTAGTGTCATTAATAAACAAAAGAAAAAAAAAATAACGACTGGAAAAGGGACATCGTCTGTGAGATGTTGAGATTTCCGGAGGATGCTCCGAGGAGAATCTGAGATTCTGAATATGGAACGCGATTTCTGTTATTGTATGTTTTTTCGAGGGCTTATCCAGATCTCCCGGCAGGTCTAACGTCAAACGATTATGCATTATGCATTATGCGAATCGTCATGCATTATGCAATCGTCACGGTCGATCGAAGTTCTTGGGTCCGAGAGTCGCAGAAATGGGAGAGAAATTTGTATATTTGTAAATACAGGGTGATTTGGGAAGGGGAACATTTTTGTAGACAGTTTGGATAATTATGTAAAAAGTTATTTACAAAAAAGAACTTATCTAGCAATTATTCTCAGTAAGGTCGACCATGTGGCTATCTAAATTATGCAAAACTACTTGGAACTAATCGTACACATTCATTACGTTTTCAACGAATGCAGGGAAAAAAAAAACGTAAAAAAATATTCCAATGCCGTGAAAAAGAATTGTAAATGTTGTTAAGTGCATGGATGTTTACGAGTCAGTTTTAGAGTATTTGACGTGAATGTCGCACGTGTATAATTACTTATTATTTCATTTTCTTTGACAGAATTTAAACAACTCAGTCGGCGACCCTACTCGGAATGAAGTTTTGTTCATATAAATTATTTCTTTCTTGTTTAATAATAAACTATATCGTCTCTCAATATTTTCCTCTGCTCCCATCTCACCCTGTATACATATGAATGAGAGGAAACGAATAAAGCAGTGCCTTAAGCGATGTTAATTAGACGGATATTAAAAATAAATATAAAGAAACTGATAATCGAATTCTCTCTCGAGATTTCGCAGGTCTTGGAAAGTCTTGAATTCCGTTGAAAAGAAAGAACAAGTGTGTAAAGCAGATCAACGAACGATAAGCAAGGAAGACAGGAGAAAATGGATGATGAAGTAATTAACATTGTTAGTTAACAAGTCGACCTACGGGATTGCCCGAAGTGAAAAGATTTCCTTAATGAACTTTAAAGGTAATGTAAATATTATTACTGGATAAGAATAATCAATTAGTACTTCAATAATTATTATTATTCATTATAATCTGATAATTCCTTCAGTCATTTTAGGAAAAATTCGGGAACCCCGTAAGTCGAGAAAAGGATTTGCACCTGTTCGCACCTGTTAAATGTCTTAATTCAGGGGCACATAAAAATCGATAAAGTAAGGGTTAACACATTAGAAGCTAGAAGCAAGGAGAGAGCAAGAGAGTTACTTAACACGGTAAATTGTTTAACACGAATTAGCGGGTGGACCTGCTAGAAAGCTTATTCCGAAACCTCATTGTTTTCTAGATCGACGTCATGAGCAAAACGAGAACAATTTTTCTTAAAAAAAAAAAGCAGCTATGTTTAGAACCAATTAAAATTAGATTTTTGTAACAAAATGAAAAGTTGATGTTTACTTCTAAAAACGAAAAAAAAAAAAAAACATGAGTAGAAGTACTCCCGTCAAACTGCAATTGCATATAAATTCGCATTACCCTTCTGTAACCTAATTTTTTTTTTCTCAAGCCAAGAAACAACTAATGTAACGTGAAATTCGCAAATATTGACCCTTCTGATGTTACCAAACTACTTGTTTATAAATTTCCAACGTATAAATACATTCCTTGATGTCAAAGGAGCGGTGCATTGAGTTTTGCCGAACAAAATCAAGCGAAACTTCAACAAAATATCGACATACGGACTTAAAAATTCCATGGCGTCACATATAATTAAAGTTAGATTTTAAAACGCCAAGTAACATCGAAATCACACCCCCACATGATGAGATTTTTTTACCAAGTCTTCCTCGACTTTTCTGGCAAAACTAATCCTATCGCTTGATTATCATATCTCTGTGTAACCGAGGAATTATCATATCTCTGTGTAACCGAGGAATTATCATATAACTAGTGAACGGATAAGCAAGTAGTCTTTAACCCTTTGGCTACTAAGAGCGCCTAAAGGGGCCCGACGTTTGGTCCAATATCGCCTGCACGGTCAGACGAATTTCGCCCTTATGTCAAAATGGCACCGTGTTCAAAGGGTTAAGTTGATGTGAAAGTGGCGTCAGAGTTCTCGTTCATGATACCAGAAGGTTAACATGTGTAAATTTCACGTCATACAATTTTTTCCCTGGCTTGAAGAAAAATTGAATTGCCACCAGATTAGGTGTTGTTAACGTTGACATATATATATATCGTTATGTTCGTTTTGCGAGGGCATCTACCCCGAGTGTACACTTTCTCTACACTTTCTACCCTCGATCCCGAGCGAGGGCAAGAAGGGTAGCCCGCGAATTTGGCGGCAAATTTCAAAATTTAAAAGACCAACAAACAGGAAAATACAAAATTCATGCCAACGTATCAACGTAATATAAACAGAAGTAATTATTAATGCATCTTCTTCGTGTATAGAACGATTTAGCGTTTCAGTTTAGTATGCAATGTTTGAAACAATTTACAACAATTATGTATTACTACGTAACCGCGGTTGGAATTAACTAAACTATAATTTTTCCCTGTCGTAGTGAAATTGTTTTTCATTCCACCGCAATAATATTCTGACCCTTATTGATCCTCGATACCTGAAATTCGTGAAAGGAATTTTCATCTTCTACAATTACAAGGTAATAGAACGAATTGTAGGATTTGAAGAAAACGAAAACAGCTCAAGAAGGCTAGAGGAAGCATTACATTTTCGTATTCGTCATATGCCGATACGGATAACCTCAAAATCGCGTACCTCTCTACTAAATCGTTCATCTTGGACTTTCGTGAGGTTTCTGGCGTTCGGGATGTCGACGAAAGTGTATCTACCCTTCTGCACTTTTCAAAAAAAAGTGTAGTACCCTCGAGGGTAGAAAGTGCAGTCAATGCGAACAAACCTAAGTGTAGAAAAAGTGTAGACAAATCGAAGAAACCTATTGTTCGGGTTCCCATAAGTCTCCCGGCAGGTTATCACCTCTGAAAGAAGGACGGACGGATAAAGCGAAAAGCAAGGAGAGCTAGAGCTAGAGATAGATATAAAAGGAGGGTGCGAACGATTAGCAGGTGGACCTACTGGAACGCTTCGACTGGAGCGGACTGTCCTCTTGGTCAGCTGCGAGGGCAATACGAGCACCATCCCCAGGGTGATGCAGCCCAGCGGCAAGACGTCTACCAACCTGCCTCCCCACCTCCTCCCCTCGTGCAACTACGCACACACATTCACACACGTTCCTTTATACGTACACAGTCGTGACATGGGCATAGGGTTATCGCACCTCCGCACCCACTCCTCTCGCTTACGGCCACCTCCAAGTCTTATCACTCGTCGGAGAGAAAACCCACATTTTCGGACATTTTTTTAATCATCTCTAAATAGAACATCACGTACACGTACAATGGCGGACATGAATGCCTCCCCTGCAGATACGGCATCGCCTGTGCAGGATGAGAGGGCATCGATGTCTCTCAGTGTACAATGGCGGACATGAATGCCTCCCCTGCAGATACGGCATCGCCTGTGCAGGAAGGGAGGGCATTGATGTCTCCCAGTGTACATACGCGGTCGCGATTTTAGAACTGTCGGGGTAACTCGATTATCGCATCTTTGTGGGTCACTTTTTCATCAATGATAATCGCCGGAGGCGAGAGAAAATAATGACTTTACATCGAAATGGGTTACTTAAATTTTTCTCATCTCTTAATGTGATAAATGATAATTTGGCACATGTTTTATTAAGGATTGTGGACGTTGCGGGGGAACTCGAATTCTGCATCTTGATTTTCTTTTACGATTCCAGAAGATGAGATTAAGTAAGGATGAGATTTTATAACGAACCAGGTCCTTTAATTTCTTTTTGATTTTTTTTATGTATTTTTAAAAATGATTTTAGAATTGTAGGAGTTTCATTTTTTTTTGTTTAATCATCTCTGAATAGCACATCACATTTTTGCATCTTTATACCTGATTTTTTTTTTACGTCAATTTCAGAAGATGAGAGTAAACAATGACAAAATTGTACGACAAAATGAGACCTTTAGGTTTTCCTGATTTTTAATGTATATTCTGATGCGATATTCAAATCATATTTTTTACGCATGACATGATTGCAGTGTGCAGATCGAGGGGATTACATGATCGTATCTTTGAACCTGAATCTTTTACGACAATGCCAAGAGATGATAGAATGATGACGGTATTTCACCTTCAAGCAGGACATTTAATTTTTTGCCTGATTTTTATATCCACTTTTTAAGTGCCTTCGTCATCGTACACACATTTGCACATCGTATGTAGGACAAATTTTCTTCGACGATTATCTCGATATTATGTTTCACCGAAGAGGAGATCAAATGAAGAAATTCAATTCTTAAACCGAACTTTTAATTTCTTCCTGCACTTGTTTTTTATGTACTTTGATAGATTACCAGGAAAAAAAAACATGAAACCGAGAGACTTGATTTCACATATTACCAAAAAGCAAAATATTCATAACATTTTTTTCCAAACAGGGTGCATCGAATAATTTGAAACCTTAACACGAGATTATGGAGGTCCTATTAAAGGTCTTGAAACTTACGAAATTTCATTAAAAAAAAAAAAAAAAAATATCCCGGACAAGAAGCAAAAAAGGATTTTTTTTTAAGAATGAAGTTTCGCGAGTTTCAAGCCCTTCATTAGGATCTCCATAATCAGGTGTTAATGTTTCAAATTATTCGGTGTACCCAATTCGGAGAATAGTTTTTTTTATAAATATTTTCAAGTTTCGATATATATAGGATGGCATTTCATATCATGACTCGTAGTATCAATTTTAATTAATATTCCCGCGATAATCGAGTTCGACTTTAGGCCCCACCAACTTTCCCCGTTTACGTGAAAAGATGCTACGTTAATAATTACAATCTCCTGTCGTTTTTCCGGATGTTCGAGTAAAAGACGTTTAGTTTTCTCTCCGTCGAGATCTCTTACCGTGTCCTCGTAATCTCGACTGCAAACACCTCTCGGTGATTTCCTCCTCCAAGAAGGCCACTTTCTTGTTTTTCTCATTTTCCTCAGGCCCTTTCGAGCGATACCAATTCCTATCTTTTTCTATCAAGCGACAGGAAAAACGAACGCCGTAGATTAATTTTCCAGGAGAATTGCGAATCCACAGAATCTAATTGAAATACCGCTCGATCGTTAACATTATTAGAAGTCTAAGTAAAATGAAAAAAAGTGCAAATCTTGGAACTAAACTCATTCAACAATTATTTACGTGCGATTTTTTATGTAAGAGAAATCGAAAGGGGCAAAAAAAATGCAATAAAAAATTGCCACTCTTCCTGTTAGAAGTAAAATCATCTTATAATTGACGTTATATTAAAAAAAAGAAAAAAAAACGATAAAAAGGTATACGTATATAATTCCTGCAAAGGAAATCGTTTAATAATCAAAATGAGTTCAGAATCAAACGAGACAATTAAATTCTGTATTTCGATTTCCTGTGAAAATCATCGGCAAGCTTTTCGTTCGCTTTCTTTTTCATTTTTGAGAAAGAGAAAGAGGGCACTCGAAATTTGTCCACAACCAGAGTGTAGGATTAAAGTTTAGGTGTAAGGGTGCGCGTAATTATGGGGATCCGGAATTAATGCTAATTTCGTCGACTAGTTATCCAATTTGCGATAACGAGTGAAACTCCATCCGCTTTCCCCAAAAAAGAAAATGTTAATCTTTCTCCAAATATATTTTTCACGGTTTATTTCCGCCTAAAGAACAACTAAACTTTTATAATTTCCTCCCTAAAAGGATGCTGTACGTTCTTCCCTAAATATACTTTTAGATAACATATTGTCTCTTGGAAGATTATACAATTTTTATCATCGATCTAAGATTTATTGCTTGACTCGACAAAACTACTAGACATTCCAGATCCCCGAGGCGATTCACACTTTCGTATCTGGTTAACGATTACAATTACGGGCCATACACCTGTACGATGGGAGTTAACGTCGTGCTTTGATAACGTCAGAGACCCCAGATCGGATAGTCGGTGATAAATCGTCCAAAGTCTCGATATCTCTCGCACTTCGACGTCGCTCGAATCGCTCCAAAGTCATTCAAAAGCGACACGCGATGCCGTATAAAGAATGATCGGTAGTTTAAAAGGTGATTTTAAAGGCGATACCTTAAGAAGGTTAAAGTTACTTTAAAAAAAAAAAAAAACCAGTGGAAGCGATTAAAGGGAACCCCAAGACTGAAAAAGGTCGCTTAAGTCTCATATCTCACTTTTAGGGCTAAAATACGTCCTTTAGCCATTTAGACTGATATAAGGGGTCTTCAAAGTGACCCTTCGAATATTTTGCATGACCTTAAGTGATCCTTATGGATCAGGAAATGATTTTCAGTTCCTTAAAGTGAGGTCCAGATCGCTTTAAATTCTCTAAAGCCACTTCAAAGTAATGGTAAAAGTCTCGATAGGAATTTTAGGTTGCTTGAAATTGCTTAAAAAGACTTCGAGGTCGCTTTAAAATCTCCGAAATCACCTTAAAGTGACACTGAAATTTTCTAAAAGCACTTTGAAGTCTCATTAGAGACTTTATGTCCCTTGCAGTAATCGCGAGGTTGCTCGAAAACCCTCTAATCATTTCGAACTGACATTTAAGGTATCGTAAGAAATTTTAGGTCATTTAAAGTCATTTCAAAGCGAGGCTGAACATCAAGGATTTTGAGTAGGTAAGTGACCTCGAAATCGCTTGAGATTCTCCAAAGTCACCTGAAAGTCTTGTCAGAGGTTTCAAGTAATTCGGAATCACCTCAGTGACCCAAAAGGTCCCGTAATAAATTTTAAGTTACTCAAAGTCACTTAAAAGTAACGCTAAAAGTCTCGTCAGGAATTTCAAATCATTCGGAATCATTTCAAAGTGACGCAAAAGATCCCGTAAAAAATTCAAAGTCACTTAAAAGTAACGCTAAAAGTCTCGTCAAGCATTTAAAATCATTCGGAATCACCTCAAAGCGACGCAAAAGGTTCCGTAAGAAATTTCAAATCATTCGAAGTCACTTGAAAGTAACGCTAAAAGTTTCATCAGGGATTTTGGGTCGCTAAGTGACCTTAGAGATCGCTTGAGATTCTCTGAAGTCACCTCAAAGTCTCTTGTCAGGGATTTTAAGTCACTTAAAGTGACCTCGAGGCCGCGATGCAATCCGTTGAGGTGATTCTTGAAACCACATCGACAACTTCGGAGCCACTTAAAGTGACTTCGGAGTTACTCCAAAAGTTGCGCAAAATTCTCCACGAAACACTTTGAAGAATGTAGAATTATCACGAATGATCTCTATTTTGCATAAGCGACGAAACGCCTCGAAGTAACATTAAAAATAAATATATATGAACCGCTTAAAGTGAAGTGAAACACGTTGAGGAACATGATCGACGTCGGTAAAAAGGGTTTTTCTAAACCTCTACGATGATTTTTATACTGACAGTCGTGTCGAATTGTATTAAGTATTGTACCAAATGGCACATTCCACCTGTTGTTTTCGTACAATAATTATAAAGAAACCGAAGTAAAACTCCAGAAATCTCCTGGATTCATGGTTTTTAAAGCCCTAATTGACTGCAGGGTGCCACCCTGCGCCATCTGTGACTTTAGTGTCCCCTACATTTTTTCTCCGAGACATCGTGTTACCTTCGTTTTAGCACAGAAGCGCATAAGAGACTTTTTTTGCCTTTATCCCGTCCAAATGCGAGTTTATCGATTACCAGAGTGTTCTAAATTGTCGTAAAATTCCCCTGACCCTTTCGTTTCTCATATCAGAGCCTTCAATACTTGTATATCGATCGAAATATGAGAGCTCGAGGGCATTTTGGTTCTGGTCTAGGCTAAATCTCCCAATTTCTTTCCTAAAATCCAAATTCTGAAAATGTCAGGGCAATTCTTAGGTGATCACGAGTCATGTTTGTCTAAGTTTCGGACGGTTCGATCCAATATCATAAAAAAAAAAGAAAAAAAAAGTGTTATTCGATACGACCGATTCGAGGAGGGTTTCACTTCACCTTAAACTAATTTGGATGTTATTATTTGGGTCAGGACAATTCTTAAGTGATCGCGAGTCATGTTTGCTAAGTTTCGGACGGTTCGATCCAATACCATTTAAAGAAAAAAAAAAAAATAAAACATATATATATTCGAGACGACTGATTCGAAGGGGGTTTCATTTCACCTTAAACTAATTTGAAAGTTATTATTATTAGTGTCAGGACAATTCTTAGTTGATCACAAGTCATGTTTGTCTAAGTTTCGGACAGTTCGATCTAATACCCTTAACAAAAAAAATAAAAAATGTCTTATTCAAGTCGACTGATTCGAAGGGGGTTTCACTTCACCTTAAACTAAATTGGAAGTTATTGGAAATGCTTGGAAGTCGTCTTCAAGTCGCCTTGAAGTCGCCTAAACCGAACTCGAGGTCGCCGACAGAAATGGCTTTACAATCGCGTGTTTAGTTATCATGTAACCGAGTCTTACATTCATTGGACATTACACGTGATTCAAGTCCAACGATTAACCGCGGCTTTCCTTCTTTGGACATTACACGTAATTCAGGTCTAATGAGTGTCTTCCCACTCCATTGTGCAACTGGGCCGACATTTGCTGCTCGTAATCAGTAAATCCTATATTATCGTCCCACAGTAAATACGCCTTTACGTAATTCCTTCGTCATGTTCGTTTCTTTTTTTTTTTCCTAACATGTTGGAATATTCAAAAGTCCGATTGATCCAATCAAAAATATTTCCTCCCCACCAAAATTCAAAAACGGATGAATATTGAATTAACGATTTACTTAATTTTCCTTCCTGTAAACGTTAATAATTCCTTAAAAATCTTATTAGACGTCGAGTTTATATTCAAGTATAACGTACGGCGACCCATAATTAAGTTCAGTTTTGAAATATGAACGATAGAAGGAGCCATTATTATACAAATCAATCATAACACAATATATTATGTAATTATGAAACAATTAGACAAATAGTTGCCGTGTAAGGTACGGTGTATGGAAAATTTAGTCCCAAAAGTAACATCATCTAATTGTAATATCACGCAAAATGAAAGAAAGTAAAAAAAAAAGTATTGTAAAATGTATAAAAGTATTTATTTTTTAATCTATACGGGTAAAGAAAATCGACTAAATGCATTCTATTGCGTGTCGCGCGTTTATCTGGCCAATAGAACTATTAATTAATATTAACGAAGTATATTAACAAAGAAAGAAGCTTAATTATCCCTTCGATAAAACATTTGCATACAATTAACACCCTTTTTTCTCTGCTACGTAATGTTACAACGATATTAAATTCAAAAACTAATTTCCCACAAACTGTACGATAAATATTTATCCATTCAGCAATGATTCTAATATTCTTCAAATTTCAAAACTGAAATTATATTTACCCTGCCTTATGTGGTTATTTATTAACACAGCATAAACTTTGTGGAACTTTAAAAAAAATAAAACGCAGCGATGATTTTTGGAGCGATTCAGGGCGCGAAGTGATTTGATTAATATTTTGATTAATATAATTTTTTAGATTAATAAATTAATATATATATAAGAAAAAAAGAGGAAAGACAATTCTGAACGACTTATCATGGTAGTCATGTCCATCTCCGGATAAGACGAGGAATGAGAAGATAACGACGAAACTCGTCTCGACGTAGTTGGACCGAATTATGCGACAACGACGTTAATAAAAAGTTATTCTATTATTAGCCACGGTCAGACGTAATCTCAAAAGGAAAAACTCGAGAAACGATCCAAAATTCTCGGATTTTCAAAATCTACTCTATCCAAAATTTCGCGGCAATTAAACGAGTCAACCTTGGTCTTCCTCTTTTAACCGAAATGCATTTAATATAGAAAATGGGAATACGTAAAAAAAAAAGAATAAAGGGACGTCACTAAAAGACTGCGACTCACGCACGAACTGAGAAAAAAGTTATTAATTTTTAATAATCGGGATCGATTTCACGACTATTAGCAAGCCGTGATAATTAACCAGTCAGCTGTTGCGACCTTTTTGAAAAGCATGTTTTACATTCAAGTATCAAAAACAGCAAACTGGTTAAAAGAAAATCCTCGAAAATTCGCGCTGGAAAATAATCTTCAGGTTTGAAATTAATCGTCATTTTAAATCAGTACATTATTACGGCGTTGCGAGAATTCTCAGGAAAAGAGGAAGGAAAAATAAATGACGGTCCACGTCAGATACTGCGAATTACGCATTAAAAAAAGAAGATATAAACGAGGTATAAATCTTCAATTCCGATCGGTCCAAAGAAAGCGAGGGCAACTCATAGATCTAAAATTCGCGTCGTCCGAGGAGTTACAAAAAAAAAATAAATAAATAAAAAAAACACGACAATAAACAAGCACTACATCAGCAGGGTAACAAATCTTGAATACAATGTACTTCCCAAAATAAAGGGAAAACAATTCGAAGGGATTCGAAAATCTGCTTCGTTCGCGAGAAATTAAATAAACAAGACGTGTCAATACTGGCGAAATATGCAACGAGGCAATAAAAATAAAAAAGAAAAATTACAAAAAATAAAATCCCGCAATAGACAAGTACCCTGTCGGTGTTTAAACGAACATCCCCTCCTTTCGTAAGAATTAACCGGTTCATTTTCTTCGATTTCGACGTACATAATGAATCGCGAGTAGTTCGCAGGAGTTGAAAACAAAACAAAAAAAAAAAAGAATACCTACGTCGTCGCGTGAAATATAATAAATATGAACTACTGGCGAAACGTACGCCAAGCCCATCATCAGCAATTCTGCAAATCGTCCTCCCTTTAGAGGTCGATTGGCTTCGATCGCGACTTACCTAAGGAGAGGGAAACCCACTCGTAAGGATTCGCTGTTTAGCCGATCCGACCAGACGCAGCAACAATTAAAACAAAAAAAAAATAAAATAAAATAATAAAAAACAAAAATAATAAGAAAAAAGAAAACAATGGCCGAGGCCATATATTTCTACGTCCGAAACGGCTAAATACTTGAGGACGAGAGCACCCTCGAGAAAACGACGGAAGAAAGTCACTCCGAGCGTGGGGGGAGTGGAAGTGCCGGTGGGTGAAATCGAAAAGGAAGCTCTCACGGGCGGTTCCCTTTCTTCTTACCGATTTGCTTCCTATTGCCGAAGCATACTACCAGCAGGAGGAAGAGGGTGGTCCCCAGGACGAAGATGATGGTGGTGACGACCTTGTAGCCGTCGTAGCCGAGGAGGATGAAGGGCTCCGGGAGGGGAGGCGCCGGTGGGGGCACCGGGCAACTTTCCTGGCAGTCCACGCAGCTGCAGGCAGGCACCCCAGGCTGTGGAGGAACAATCGATATCTTATCGATACTGAGGCCAAAGGATATATGCAGACTGGGGAAAAAAAAAAAGAAAGAAATATTCAAAGGAAACGATGAATAATGCTCACTTGAATAAAATTAACAGGGTTTTGGGAGAAAGAACATGTAATTATGGTATTCTGCGTTTTTTGCGGTTTTTTTTTTTCCCCCTTACTGTAACGTTCGAGTCCAACGAATAACTTGGTGGAACATTTTATTCATCTTATTGAAAATGAAATGATATTTCTTAGGTGCGAAAGCATATTTCACTGCACTGGGATAAAAAAATTTTCAATGAGGAAAAAATTCCCCCTTTCAAGAAAATTTATTAATTTATTTATTGTTATCATTGCTAATGTTTTGTTGTTATTATTATTATTTAATGGGGTTAAAGAAATGAAACCGCAGGTAGGAACCCCAGGTTGTGGAGGATCAATCGATATCTTATCGGTACTGTGGCCAAAGGATATATGCAGACTGAGAGAAAAAAAATCAATATTCAAAGGAAACGATGAATAATGCTCATTTGGATCGGATAACAGGGTTTTGGGAGAAAGAACAAGTAATTATGATACTCTGCGAATTTGGTTCTTTTTTTTTTTTAATCTCGTTTGATTCCATCAATCCGTTCTACTGCCCTTGGGAATAAAATTGTAATACTTTTTTTTTCATTTCTACTGTTCTCATGAAGATACCAAAAGAATGATTAGGTTTGCGAGGTCATGGACGTAGGACATGATTTGCCCATGAATGCAAGAAAATCGAAGGATAGAAAATAAGGGGGCCCCTTTTCTCGCTCTTTCTCCTTCTCTTTACGTGAAATTATTGCACGGCCCGAGATGGCTTTCTTTGTTACTACCTTCGCAAGAATACCACAGGAATGGTTGGATTTGCGGGCTCCGTGTATCCCACGTCCATGATCAATACACGATTTAGCAGCAAGGTGTTCTAGAACGAAGGGCGCGGAAAGAACGAAAATGGTGATACGTTTCCGTCCTGCGCACTTTTCTTGTCATTTTTACAGTTTGTTGGCGAATCGAGGTGAATAGAAATCGGCATCCGAGGGATCAATCGCTTATAAAGCGTATTAATGTTTATAAAACGTATTGTACGTATATAAAACGTTTATAAAACGTATTATACGTATATAAAACGTTTATAATACGTATTATACGTATATAAAACGTTTATAATACGTTTATAAAACGTATTATACGTATATAAAATACGTTCATAAAACGTATTATACGTATATAAAATACGTTCATAAAACGTATGTTCATAAATCGTTTATAAAATTCTCCGAGCTGCGTTTATCGAATCGTTCGGAATTTCACCACGGGAGTACGGAGGCCCCAAGAAGGGTACTAACAGCCATTAATTCAATTTTATATAAAAGATAATGAATTGTTCGTAAAAACAGATTAAGAAACTTAACAAGTTTAAAGAGATCAAGATGGCAGTTTCATAACACCTTAAGATGATACGAAGGAAGATGATAAGGTGTATTTTCATACAGATTAAGATGGCATGTTCACCTCGCCTTAAGGGGATGCGAAAGTAGCACCAGAGAGATTCATCGTTTATGAAACTTTTCTCCGTACCGGTCGTACCGAATCCTTCAAAATCTTACCACGTGAATGTCGAGGCCATAAGGAAGGTCCCGACACCCATGAAAATCCATTCTTCAATATTAAATAGAAAGAACGTTTATCAAGAGATTTTTAAAAAATTAATTTCATGGGTGCCAGCATCTTTCTCAAGGTATCCCAATGCACGTGGTAAATTTTCAAATGATTAGGTACACCCAGTTTGCAGAAAAGTTTGATAAATGGTTGGTCCCTTGGATGGCACTTCGATATATATATACGTCAAAATGTTTACACAACTTTTCTCCAAACAGGGCGCACCGAATAATTTGAAACTTCAGCACGTGATTATGGAGGCCCTAAGGAAGGACGCAACGCTCATGAAATTTCATTTTACGAGCTGAAACTTTTTATGTACCCCAGACTAGAACCAAGGACACATATTACTGTTTGAAAAATAAAATTTCATGAGCATCGCGTTCTTCCTTAGGGCCTCCATAATCACGTGTTAAAGTTCCCAACGATTCGGTGCACCCAGTTTGGAGAAAAATTGTATAAATATTTTGACGCTTTATATGTATATACAGTGACCCTTTCATATCACCCTAAGGTTCGTTTAAAACATTAAGAGAAATTTAGAAATTATTGCTAATAGCCAATATGAATAAAAGTCGTACCTTAAGGGGCTTGCTGCAGGGCGTGATGGGGGGGTCCACCGGAGTGTAGGGCCCGACAGGTTCGTCCGAGGTAACGTAGACGATCTCGAAGGGCACGTAAGGGTTCTCCATGGCGTTCCCCATGTTCTTAAACCACTTATAAGCCGTGCACCGACTGGCGGGCTCGCCGCACATGAAGTCCAGGGCGAGCTGGCCAGTGCTGGGGACCGAAACCTGCTTGCAGGAGTCGTAGGTGCCGTTAACGTATTTCTCCGTAACGTAGAATTGGATCCCGTCGATGTAGGACACATCTGCAACGAGTTCGTATTAATTCATCTCATTCCGCATCTTCCTCATCTATATATTAAGGTGGCATGAAGGGTCGTTCTATATATATATATATATATATATATAACGTTAAAATATTTATAAAAGTGGGAGTCGAAGTGGCGTTAAAGAGGTCTCGTTTATGAGACTTTTCCCCTCGTTTCAAACTTGACAATGTGAACATGGAGGCTGTAAGAAAGGTCCTGACGCCCATGAAATTTCAATTTAAAAAAAAAATGCGTCTATAAATATTTTCAACATTATGTATAAATAATGAAATTTCGCGAGTGTCAGGACCTTCCTTATAGCCTCCATGTTTGCGTTGTAAAGTTTGAAACGATTCGGTACCCCCAGTTCGTAGAAAAGTTTCATGAACGATTGAGCTTTCGGACGCCACCTTCACATCCCCTTAAGGTGACATGAAAGGGTCACTTATTTGTATTTGTATTCTTTTATATCGCTTTAACACTAAAACTATAAACTCTTTCATATCTCTTCTCTTTCTTTAAAACACTTTCATATCACCTTAACACTATAAAGATTATTTAGGCTATGGTGGGCCATCTAAAACCCATCATTTTGACTGACAAGGAAGGTATCGCAGGTCGATCTCTCGTATTTGATTTCTTTTATAGCATATTACAGCAGAGTAAAAACTAAGCGACACGTATTCTTTTTTATCTGCCATTAACGCTTTAAGGGGGTGACTCCACCATCTAAAGTAAGGCATGTCAAGGGGCGATTTGGCAGTTTCACCCGCAAGAACATAATATTTTTTAACCAATCCACCTGGAAAAGCTTTCACATAACGAGAAATGAAAAATATAATTTTCTGAATTAAAAAAAAAAAAAATTACGGGGTGAACCATCCCTCACAGGCCTTACTTTCGATGGTGGTTTCACCCCCTTAAAGTGTTTAATGGCAGATAAAAAAAAATACGTGTGGCTTAGTTTTTAGTCTACTATAACATATTATAAAAGAAATCAAATCGGAGAGATCGACCTGGGATAATTTCCTTGTGAGATTGGTACTAGTAGCCAGTTAACACGTTAAGCGCGGAACCGATTTTGCTGAGCTTTCCGTTTAGGCGGCACAATTCTTTCTGTATAGGATATTCTTGATGCCGTATCAGTCCCCAGGGACTGACACCGCCTAGACAGAAAGTTCCCTGTCAGTCCCCAGGGACTGACACCACCTAGACGGAAAGTTCGTTGTCAGTCTGTAGGAACCGACGCCGTCTAGACGGAAAGTTCACTGTCAGTCCCCAGGGACTGACGCCGTTTAGACAGAAAGTTCACTGTCAGTTTCCAGGGACTGACGCCGCCTAGACGGAAAGTTCGTTGTCAGTCCCCAGGGACTGACGCCGTCTAGACGGAAAGTTCACTGTCAGTCCCCAGGGAATGACGGCGCCTAGACGTAAAGTTCACTGTCAGTCTCCAGGGACTGACGCCGCCCACACGGAAAGTTCACTGTCAGTCACTGACGCCGCCCACACGGAAAGTTCACTGTCAGTCTCCAGGGACTGACGCGACCTAGACGGAATGTTCGCTGTCAGTCCCCAGGAACTGACGCCGCCCACACGGAAAGTTCACTGTCAGTCCCCAGGGACTGACGCTACCTAGACGGAAACTTCACTGTCAGTCCCCAGGGACCGACGCCTTCTAGACGGAAACTTCACTGTCAGTCCCCAGGAACTGACGCCGCGCTCAACGTGTTAACGTAGAATAAGGGGACGGGGGGAAATATCGCAGGAAGAACTACTGACTCTTCTTCTCGTCCGTCTTGATGCTGGTGGCGTTGACGAAGTCGCTCTGGTGGGGGCTGCAGGTGTACTCGCAGAAGTGGCGCACCAGGTTGTCGAGGCAGCTGGGGCACCTGCTGAGGAAGTTGGCCGCGAGGTTGATGCTGCTGTCGAGCCTCTTCAGCTGGGCGATGTCGCAGCAGGCCAGGGTCTCCCTGCCGTTCTTGGGGAGGAGATGGGAGCAATGCTTCGCCAGGAGTTTCTGGCCCTCGTTGTCCAAGGGCTTCGGGGGCCCGGTGTAAGGACAGTTCTTAGCGTGACCCATGGGGTCCGTGAAGCACTCCCCGTACCAGACGCAGTGGCTCTCCGCATCCTGGGATCCGGTCGCCTGGAAAAAGAACGGACAGCTACTTTAGTTTCCTTTTTCAAGTTAAACTTCTTATGCGGCACCCGAGCCTCGACCAATTTGGGTCTGCGAATCTGGAATCCAGTTTTAGGCACAAACTAAATTAATCCTTTGCGGTCGATGCCGCCACGGTGGCGGCATGATGTCATTAATCACTCAAATATTGGAGGAAATTATTTTTCTTGGGGTATGGAGATGTGCGTCATGTGCTAAATTTGCTCCGACTATCTGGTACTCCCATCAGAGAAATTTGCCGATCGCAAAGGATTAACAGGCTCATTGGAATATTTCCATGATGTAGACGTTTGAGCCATGTTCAGTTTCGTTTGTTCCATTTGAGACATTTTTTTATTTCACTCTAGCCAATGCCATAACAATTCAATTTTACTCGTCATTGAAGAAAGAGGAAGGGGGTTCATATTTCGTCGCTTTATTGTTCTGCGTCGCAAATTCTCGTCTCCGGAAAAATTATCGTTTTGTCAAATTTATAGTTTTAGTGTACTCAATTGTCTGAAATTTGCGATCACTTCTAAACAAGACTTTTTCTGGCGACCATTTTTTATGGGGATCGTTCAAGAAATTTTTTGATTTCATTCTGTCCAAAGCCACGATATTCAATTTTAATCGTTACTGAAGAAAGAGGAAGGATGTTCATATTTTATCGCTTTATTGTTCTGCGTCGCAAATCCTCGTCTCCGGAAAAATTATCGTTTTGTTAAATTTATAGTTTTAGTGTACTCATTAATTGTCGGAAATTTATGACCACTTTTAAACAGGACAAGTTTTTCTTGCGACAATTTTTTACGGGGATCGTTTAAGAAATTTTTTGATTTCATTCTGTCCAAAGCCACGATATTCAATATTACTCGTCATTAAAGAAACAGGAAGGATGTTCGTATTTTATCGCTTTACTGTTCTGCATCGCAAATCCTCGTGTCCGGACAAATTATCATTTTGTCAAATTTATAGTTTTAGTGTACTCATTAATTGTCGGAAATTTACGACCATTTCTAAACATGACACTTTTTACGGGGATCGTTTAAGAAATTTTTTTATTTCATTCTGTCCAAAGCCACGATATTCAATATTACTCGTCATTGAAGAAACAGGAAGGATGTTCATATTTTATCGCTTTATTGTTCTGCGTCGCAAATCCTCGTCTCCGGAAAGAGGAACAGGATGTTCGTCTTTCTCTGCGTGCATCGACCCGATTGTTAAAGAGAGACAGAGAGAAAGCGAGGAAAAGTTTCACTTTTATTCCAATGACGTCTGACTGACGTGGCCATGTAAATTTTTATAAATTTTGCATCTATTATGGAAAGTTTTATTAGTTTATTCTGGGCTGGAAATTGAGATAGGCTGTGCGCATCCATTCTGAACAAAACTAAAAATAACAAGAATAAATAGTAAAGATAAGTACCAAAAGTAAAAAAGGGAGATACATTATTAAAAAAATATATATATATGAAAGACTAAAATGATAAGCTGAGAAAACAAAATCTATTAAGCCTGAAAAATATTCTCCTTGAAAAATACCTTAAGAAATACCTCGTCAATTCCCAGAATACTTATTTGACTCAAATGATTTGTTCATAATTCCGAATAAATGTTGCATCCAATTTATTCGAGCTTATTCGAGTCAAACGATTATTCTTTGAATTAAAAAAAGATTTCCTCCATACTACTCAAAGAAATATTTCTTTGGTTCGATGATGTTATTTTTTTTTTCCTCAGCATAGCAAATTGTGCAAAAGGTAAGAGAGAAATTAAACGAAGATTTGACGAAACATTTGCCCATGAACAATTTTTCGTTTTATTCTGCTTCATCATTATTCCTAAGCCTTTTCACCTTGCCCCTCTCTAGTTACACCTGTACTATTATCTGTGTCAAGCCTTGACTACTTATATACATATAATTCCAAAGAAATGTTTCACCCAATTTATTCGCGTTTATTTCAGTCAGATAATTCATTTATTGAATTTTTTTTCTCAGCTCTTCAATTAATTTTTTTTTCTCAGAGCATTTATAACGTAGTGCGGAAGCATGGTAATGAGTACATTAAACGATTAAAATAAATTTTTAAACAAGCCCGAAGACAATTTCTCTTCAAATTCTTTTATCAGCTCTCCCGTTATACTTGCACGATTATAGGCGTCAAAACTCGCGTGCATTGTGCACGGTACAGCGCCTTTGAAGACGCCGCTTAAGTCGGCTTAACGTTAACGAGGGGTCGGACTTAATAGGGCCTGTGAATTATCCTCAATTAGGGTCTAATATGACGAATTGATTTCCAGCCGAGTCGTCGGGCCAAAGACCGAGCGATGGACTTCGCCACACGCAGAAAAAGAATTCACTCATGACAAGAGATTATAATTTGCTTCGACAAATGTGAACATTTGAAAATGGAATAGCAACATTTTTATCGCCACACGTAGAAAAAAAATTCACAATCATTACAAGAAATTTTAATTTGCTTCGACAAATGTGAACATTTGAAAATAGAATAGCAACATTTTTATCGCCACGCAGAAAAAAAATTCACCATCATTACAAGAAATTTTAATTTGCTTCGACAAATGTGAACTCTTGAAAATGGAATAGCAACATTTTTATCGCCACAGTATAGAAAAAGAATTCACAATCATTACAAGAACTTTTAATTTGTTTTGACAAATGTGAACTCTTGGAAATGCACTAGCAACATTTTTATCGCCACAGGCAGAAAAAAAAATGCACAATTATTATAAGAAATTTTAATTTGCTTCGACAAATGTGAACTCTTGAAAATGGAATAGCAACATATTTATCCCCACACGTAGAAAAAGAATTCACAATCATTCCAAGAGATTATAATTTTCTTCGACAAATGTGAACACTTGAAAATGGAATAGCAACATTTTTATCGCCACACGCAGAAAAAAAATTCACCATCATTACAAGAAATTTTAATTTGCTTGGACAAATGTGAACTCTTGGAAATGGACCAGCAACATCTTAATCGCCACAAAATCATTTAAATCAATACGTCAAGTTCGCAAATTTAATACAATTTGCACAATAAAAATGTACGTAATTTACAAACATTTTTAACTGTAGATTTTTCTCCTGCCGGATGACGACCAAAAAACGTGAATTACCGTACTCTGCATTTTTATCTTTCGCAATCGATTCCGCTTTGAACCCTCAGACAGGTGTTCAATCTAATCAGCTTTTGACCGAAAATCTTATCGAACACCTGCATGTTGCTTTCTATCGAAAACAAGACCTTCGGACAAGCCAAGTGTCCGATTACACGATCGATTCTCGATTCTCAAGGAATTTCTGTTCCCAATAATCTCGAATTCCATGAACGAGAGATCGAAGATCCGTAAATCACCGTTTCGCCAAATCAGTTCAAGAAATAATCTTTAAATCTCGCAGTTTTCCAAAAATCCGAGACCCAGGATTAGAAGTATGTACATTCGGAGATATAAATTAAACGAGCGCAGGGAAATAAGGAGAGCAAAATGTTTGACAATTTAAAAATAGAAATGGAAATCAATCGAGCTACAGGAATAAGGAAAAGCGAAACGTTTAAAATTGGAATATATTTCGGGCAAAAGGAATGGAAATCAAACGAGCGTAGGAAATGAGGAAAACAAAATGTCTCGAAATGTTAAAATAGAATTGAAAATCATAAGAGCGCAGGAAATGAGGAAAACAAAATGTCTGAAAATGTTAAAATAGAATTGAAAATCATAAGAGTGCAGGGAATTAGGAAAAAGAAAATGGCCAAAATATTAAAATAAAATTGAAAGCCAAATGGGCGCTGAAACGAGAAAAAAAAAAAATTAAAACCATTACAAATATAACTAGAACATTAAATCGGCGCAGAAAGAGAGATATACGGAAATGTTAAAAATATTCCAAATATAATCGAGAGAGCCAGACGCGTGCCAGGGAGATCGAAAACATTCCCACCTTTCCGAATATAACTGCAAATCGAGGGAGAGACCGAAAATGTTTAAATTTTCGAAAATAGAACGGAAAGTCAAGCCGGAAACGGAAACACGTAAAATTGGAATATAATCCAGGCATAAAAAAGGAGCGCAAAACAAACGAGGGCACCAAAATCGAGGAAAAGGAAAACTGAGGTTTCAAATTCAGATAAAACTGAGATTAAGGTAAAGTGAAACACGTCGAGGAACTTGATCGACGTCAATAAAGAAGACTTTTCTAAACACCTACGTTGTTGACGTTCGTTTTTATATTGACAGCTGTGTCGAATTATATTGGGTATTGTACCAAATAGCATACTCCACCTGTCGTTTTCATACAATAACTATAAAGAAATCGAGGTAAAACTCCAGAAATCCTCTGGATTCATGCTTTCTGCGGCCCTAATTGACTGCAGAGGGACCCCCTGCGCCATCTGTGATTTCCAGGTCAATTAAACTTTCACTCCGAGACCTCGTATCCCCATCGTCTTAGCATAGAAGCGCATAAGACACTTCTTTTGCCTTTATCCCATTCAAATGCGAGTTTATCAATTATCAGAGTCTTCCAAATTCTCGTAAAATTGTCCTGACCCTTTTGTTTCTCATATCAGAGCCTTCAATAATTGTATATTGATAAAAATATGAAAGCTGGACGCCATTTTTATTCTAGTCTGGGCTGTTAAAAAGTTTTTTTCAAAATCTAAATTTTGAACGTGTCAGGACAATTCTTCGATGATCAGGAGTGATGTGTCAAAGTGTCGGACAGTTTAGTCCAGTACCCTTAAAAAAAAGTGTTATATTAGAAACGACTGATTTGAGGGTGGTTTCACTTCACCTTAACTTTCGGGAAGAGTAGGGAGACACGCGAATATAGAACGAGGTTCGTCGGAATGACGTCGGACGTATGTCGAAGACATATATTCCCGAAAGCGGTCGGCCTCGACCTCGACCTCATATGTGTAGGTGACGACGTCCGACAGGTGTATTCACGGTTGTCAAGGAAA